AGCAGGAAATCAAGGAAGAACTTGAGTTGGAAAGCTTATTGACGTTCTACTGTAAGATAAACACCGAAACATTACCCAGAAGTGACGGGGGACAGAAGGCTACACCTTGAACCTCATGAAAAGAGTTCTCCTAAGAGGTGTTGGTGATGGTGGCATCAAGGAAAAGGGGGTTTGGGAAAAGCAGCATCTGGTGGAAGCTGAATGGCCAGAAACCTCAGCTGTCACCCGGCAACTGGAAGGTGGACAGGGTGAGTGAGTCACCGATCAGGCTGCTGCATCCACAGTTGCTTGCACATCTTCTTTCCCCTTGACTACACAACCTTTGACCCTCGGTTGTAGCGTAAAACTCTTTTGCTGGGAAGGACTGTGCCATATTCATCTCTGTAGCTCTTTCCCAAGCAGAACTCTGCACAAAGATGGCAGAGAAAATGTTTGGTGAATGTTGTAACGGTTCTCACCAGCCCACTTCCGGTAGCGGCCCCCCATTCTCTTCTAGAGAGCCTGCCCATCCCCGTTCTCATTCATGTGCTCCATGTAAGAACTGACTCCCTCCCTGGCTCCAGACCTGACACATAGCCCAGACCTAACCAAGCAAAACATCCTTTTCTCCTGACCACAGTGACTGGCTCCAAAACAGGCAAGTGACCATCCCGAACCGAGGAAACAGAAGAGACCCAGAGAAGTGAGGAGAAAGATAAATGCTTTCATTCTAGGCTGCAAGTGGTAAGGGAGAGGTCTAATCCTGATGACATGGCTTAAGCTCCTGTTTCCAGCTGTGTTTGAAAGCCATTCATGTCACTGGGGTCTGGAGTCATCTAAGCATATTAATCCCATATCTTGCCTAAGGCAACTGGAGTTGGGTTATCCATCACTTGCATGCAAAAGAGCCCTGACAAAGAAATGAATGAATGAATTTACCTGAAAATTGTACCCCAAGGAAGGATTCTGCTCGAGGACTCGAAATCTTGCCATTCACTCTCTGAAATGGGGCAAACCGCCTACAGTCTTTGGACTTCTGTTTAGAACTCTGATATCACTCACTTATACACACGTTTATTGGCATTTCTTGTGCTGTACACCAAGCTAGGTGTTGGGTCTACTGTGGTAACAAAGCCCTCATGGTCCCTGTTTTCATGAAAATGGAAATGAAGTTCAGCTCTAGAAAAGTAAAGTTCATTTGAGTGCACCTGTTTTTACCACTGTACCATCTGTGGTCTAAGACTCTAGCTCTTGAAAAAGGTAGTAGCTGCTGGTATTCCTTCAACTCCTTATCTGCTAATATTATAGGGCAACTGGTGGAGGGGAAAGAAACACGGCCTAGTATGATGAGGGGTGGGAGTTTCACAGGCTTTGCTTCCTTCCCAGTGCTCAAGGCCAATCAGAAGTAATGCTTATGAGCCTAATTACACACAGCACTGAGCTGGAGGATGAAGCAATAGCCCAGTGTGGGCCTGGGTCCAATCCTCTGGGACCTTTAGCTCCAAGAATAGCCAACATGCTACCAAGTACATTTTTTCTGGCCTCTGGCAAAGAGACATTTCTGAGTCAAATATGCTCATCAGTGTTCCCAAGAATCAGGCTTAGAAACGGATTTTTTAAGCTGCATCTCTTTCAATTCTCGTTACAAGGAACTAAGAATGCCAACTGCAATTGGGTTTTCACGTTTGAAGGGAATTCACAGCGTGGGTTGAAGTGGCAGAATGTCAGAGACAAGCCCAGTAGATAAATTTAGCAGGTCCAAAATAACCCGAGTCCTAGTCCGCCTCCTGTTGTTTAATTTATTCTTCCATGAAACAAATCTGTGTCAAGTGCCCACTTGCACTGGGCACCATCATAGAACAGCCATTGGCTTGTAAGAGAGCAACTCAAGAGAAAACAGATCCAGAGGCGAATTCTCAACACAAGCCTCCTCCCGCATACCAGGCCCACACACCTGGCTAAGCCCAGCCAGATGTTACTAAACCAGCCTCCACTAATAAATCAGCTAATGCGCTCTATTCTAAATATAGCAGGCGTTCTTGCCTGTTCCATTTATTATTACTGCATTAAAAAATGACCTCAAAACTTAGCGATTTGGTACTTAATGCCACTGCCTTATACCCTTAAAAATGATTAAAATGGCCCTAACCGGTTTGGCTCAGTGGATAGAGCGCTGGCCTGTGGACTGAAAGGTCCCGGATTCGATTCTGATCAAGGGCATGTACCTTGGTTGCAGGCACAACTCCAGTGGGGAGTGTGCAAGATGCAGCAGATGGATGTTTCTAACTCTCTATCCTTCTTCCTTCCTCTCTATAAAAAATCAATAAAATGTATTTTTAAAAAATTATTAAAATACTAACCATATTAGGTATATATTAATAATAAAAAATATGGAAGGATAAAAAAAATGGTTCGAAACAACCACCTGACTGAACTCACAGATTCTGGGTGGGGGTCAGAATATCTGGGCAGGGCACAGTGGGGTGGGTTCATTTCTGCTCCATGGTGTCTGGGCCTCAGGAAAAGGCAAAGGCTGGTGTGAATGGGTGTCTGGGCACTGCAGTCATCTGAAGGCACATCCATTTACACGTCTGGGCTGACTCAACACCCAGGATTGTCCACTGGAGCACCCCCATGTGGCCCCTCTGAATGGCTTGGCTTCCTCAGGGTAGTCAAACTTTTTATACAGCAGCTCAGAGCTCCAAATATGCGTGTGTAAGGAAAGCAAAACCTGCATCCCACTTATCACCTGACATTGGAAGTGTCACTTTTGTCCAACTCTATTGGTCAAATTAGTCATAAGCCTATCTAGATCCAAGGTCAGGGAGAGGGTAGAATTAGACTCTATATTTTGATGGGGACGTACGTATCAAGATCACATTGTGAAGATACTGTGGTAGCCTTTTCTGAAAAATGCAATCTGCCTACCACCTTTCTAAACGGCCCAAAGCAAAGAAACCACAGAATCAGAGTAGAGAAACAGAGCATGGGACTTGAGGCTCAAAAAAACATAATCTTCTTTATCAGAGAATTAGCAATGAGCTCCTGAGTGCTGGCTCCTCAGGCTGGCAGGGTGCCAGGTGCATTCGGCTGGGTATAGAGTTGGTGTTAGTTGTAGTTTTCTCAGTTCTGTGTGTGTGATCTCAGGCAGTCACCACTGGGACCTTTAACTTCCTCAGCTTAAAAGTGGAGGTAATTTTTTTAATAGGTATATGTATATTTTTATCTATTTCTGAGAGGGAGGAGAGATAGAAACATCGATGAGAGAGAATCATTGGTGGGTTGCTTCCTGCACGCCCCACATTGGAGATCAAGCCACACCTCTGGCATATGCCCCACCTGGAAATCCAAAGGTGACCTCTTGGTTCATAGGTCAACCACACTCAACCACTGAGCCACGCTGGCAGAGCAGAGGTAATTCTTGATCGTGTTCCATCAGTGTTGTGAGAACCAAATAAAATACTGTATGTGAGGACAAATTTGTTGCAAAGATGTCCACACATTGGACCCCCTCCCCCAGGTGGACAGCCCTCTTTGACAATACAACTGGGAAAGACCACACCCTGCCAGGTTGTTGTTGCCACCACGCTTTCCCCATAGTAACCACTCTCCTGTTTTTGTTTGTCTGTCTCAGAGGCAGGAGAGACAGCTGGAGCTCAGAGAGGGCAAATGACCTGGACAGGGTTGCACAGACCAAGAGATGAAAACCCAGATCTTTCTGGGATGCTAAGACTTTCCATTCTAGAGTTCTTGAGCCACTGACATTTTTAATAGATGACTGACTTCAGCTGAGAAGCATAACAGATTACAGCCAGCATCTGGAGTCACCGTACCTGATTTAGATCCTAGCTACCACACTCTAGCAATTAATGTGATTCAGGTTAAAATGGGAATAAGACTTCTCATACTCCAGTAAGAAGTAACCAAGTTAACATAAGGCACTTAGCCCCGGCCGTGTGGCTCAGTTGGGGTTTGATCCAGTTGGGACATGTTGTATGAAAGGCACATTGGTATTTTTCTCTCTTCTGTCCTCTCTCTCTCTCTCTCTGAAATCAATGTACGTCCTTGGGTGATGATTAAAAATAATAATAGCTGAAACTGGTTTGGCTCAGTGGATTGAGTGTCGGCCTGCAGGGCACGTGTATCTTGGTTGCGGGCACATCCCCAATAGGGGCCATGCAGGAGACAGCTGATGGATGTTTCTCCCTTCCTCTCTGTAAAAAATCATTAAAAATATATTTTTAAAAAAATAATAGAAAATTTTAAATGAAAATAAACACATAAGGCACTTGAAACAGTGCCCCGTACACTACAAGCACTCTGCATTTGCTGCTGCTAAAGCACTCCTGCACACTTACTACATAACAGGTGCTAAATGTCTTAAGGTGAAAACGTAGCATCCAAGAATAAAATGAAATGTCACGGCAGAAATATCTCCTTAAAATGACAAATTCATTTTGGATAGTTAAAAAAAGAAGAAGAAGAAGAAAAAGGACACCCCACAAACCTCTCTCATCTAAGATAATGGAACTCAGGCAAAAATAAATGTTGGTTATTTTTAATATAATTAAAAATGTTAATTTCTAATTATATTAAAGTTATTTTTATATTTTTATATATTTTTATATTTTATTCTTATATATATTACTTTTAAACTGGAGCTTTAGGAGCTGACTCCTAAAGCTCCAGTTTCACTTCTTGCCTCCCTGAAGCCTGCGGACACCCCACAAGCCTGACAGTGCTGAGAGCCCACTCCCGCAACCCCAAAGCAGCCAGCCCACCCTACGGGGGGCCCTCGCCCGGCTGCTTCCGCTTCCGCCCTCGCCCCACCCCTTTCCCATTCGGCGGCTCCTGATGACGTCATGGGAGGGCGCCGCCGCCGCCGCCGGAAGCGGTTCTGCGCCTGCGCTCCTCGGGGGGCGGCTTCCCGGAGCTGGTCCCGGAGCGCGAGGGCCAGAGGGTGACGAGGGCTCCTGTCCCGCCGGCACCGCGTCTCCCCAGAGGAGTCCTGCGCTGGGACCATGCACCGCAGCCGCCAGGTGACGTGCGTGGCCTGGGTCCGCTGCGGCGTGGCCAAGGAGCGGCCGGACAAGGTGAGGCCTCCTTCGGGCGGGGGCGCTGCCTCTGCGCATCCTCGTGTCGCTGCGGAACGTGGGCCGGGACGCGCGGCCCTGGTCCCGCTGTGGTGGCCGGGGCGGGAGAGGTCGGTTTGGGCCTGGTGGTGGTCGTGACGAGGGCTGCGGCTCCGAGGACCTGGGGTCTGGGACTGCGGCTCCCCACGGTCTCCGTCCCTCAGGTTCGCGCTCTGCTGGAAGGGGCAGGTGGTTCCTCCGAGCGGAAATCGCCCCTTCCCTAAAGCCTGGTTGACAGCACCGCAGCTTCAGCCACACCCCAATTCAGGGTGACGGGGATGGGGCGCACATGGGGAACCACCCCCCCTTCCTCTCCTGGGCCCGCGTTCGGAGGAGGCCACAGTGGGGGGCTGGGGGATGGAAAAGCTGGTGTGGAGGCTCCAGCCCTGAGGCTGGGAGAGTAGCTCAGGGGTTTTTTGCGGAAATTGGGGTGAGATGAAGAGGCAGTGGGGAGGGGAGGCAGACGTGGCACAGGAAGGGACACGCTGCGGGAGAGAGAGACGGGTCTGTGGCAGGGATGAAGTGGCTTAAGTTATTAAATGGGTCCTTACCAGGTGCTTTCTGCGCGCCAGGCGTTGCTCTGGGTCCTGGAATAGGCATGAACAAAACAAAAAGTCCTTGCTTGTATGGAGCTGACGTGTGTGTGTGTGTGTGTGTGTGTGTGTGTGTGTGTGTGTGTGAGAGAGAGAGAGAGAGAGAGAGAGAGAGAGAGATGTAAATGGGAATAAGTGCAATGAAAGAAAGGAAGCAAGGAAATGGGGGGAGGGAGTTGGTTTGAATGTAATTGGGCCAATGATGACAGAAAAGTAATAGAAATGTAAATGGTCAGGACGTGAAATTAACAGTGATGAGGGATTGTAATAGCCTCAATGGATGTAAATTCCTCAGGGCACAGACTATTTTATTCACCAGTTTCTCTGGCGTTTGGCTTACAGTAGACAATCAATGCACCTATAATAATAAAAGCATAATATGCTAATTAGACTAGACAGCCAAACAACCTTCCAGACAAAGCCACAGCAGCAGAGGCCAAGACAGGTGGTTAGGGGAGATCAGTCAGGCCAGCAAGCACTTAGGGGCGATTACGCAGGCATGCAGAGTGGTTAGGAGCAATCAGGCAAGCAGATAGAGGGATTAGTGACAATTAGGCAGGCAAACAAGTGGTTAGGAGCCAGTAGTCCTGGATTACTAGAGGATGCAGGCCCAACTAAGGGACCCTGTCCCTGTGCACAATTTTTGTGCACCAGACCTCTAGTATATATAGAATATGGACAGAAAATTATCTCATTAAAAAATATTGAGGGAGCCTTGGCCAGATTGCTTAGCTGGCAATTGCAGGTTTGATCTCTGGTCAGGAGAGACACAAGATTCAACCAGTGAAACAAATCAGTGTTTCTCTCTCCCTCCTTCTCTCTCTCTTTCTCTAAGCCATAAATTTAAAAGAATAATCGAAAGACTAACAGTTGTTATTAAAGGGGAAATAACCCTTTCAGATACTTGAAGTCGGTGATTTCCAAACATGCCTGCACATTCTCATCACTTGGGGCTTCAAAAAATACTGTGCCCTCCTACCAAGTATTGTGACCTAATTGGTCTGGAGGGTAGCATGAATGTATTAAAAGATCCTCACCTGTTTCTAATGTGCAGGCAGGTTTGGGATCTTTACTTGAAGACTTTCTAGAAAGAAGAGATTGAATTTATTCTACAAAATACCAGGAAGGAAAACTCAGACCTTTGAGAGAAATTAAAAAAATAAATGTTGCTTTATTAAAGTTGAGAGCCTTTCATTTCTGGAGCTATCCAGCGGTGGCTCACCACCCCTCAGGGGGATTTCCGTATTGGTAGAGGTGTTTGGGTATAGACTGGGCAATTCATTCACTCATCATCTGTCAGCCAACATCCCTGCGGGGTGGGCTGAGCACTGAACTGTGCTTAGTAGTAAGCGCGGTGACAAGTCAGTGGCTGTCTTCCAGAAGCTTCAGTGGCAGTGATGGGGATGCTGTGAAAGGTACTGGCGCATTGGAGGAATGGCAGTTCTGAAGTAGAGAATGACTTCTGTTTGAACAGGATATCCAAGCGGAGAGTGCAACAGGCAGTTGGGGAAGTGGAACTGACGTTTAGAGATAGAGAAGGGAAAGTTTACATAATCGGTTCATAGGTGTAGTTTAGTCTTGTGAATGCATGAGCTTTGCAAGGGACTTACAGCATGATGATGAGCACGTGTGGGTGAGAACAGGAAAGAGCCGAGGACCAAGGCAGGGGTGGTTTAGAGAAAACGGGGAGAAGTGGCCAGGGAGTCAGCATAGTGAGAAGAAAGTGAGGTGGGCTACCGCAGAAGTCAGTTTATACAAGTCAATCTTTTTTAGAAAGTCTGGAGCAGTGGTTGGCAAACTGCAGCTCGAGAGCCACATGCGGCCCCTTGAGTGTGGCTCTTCCACAAAATACCACGGCCCGGGCGAGTCTATTTTGAAGAAGTGGCGTTAGAAGAAGTTTAAGTTTTAAAAATTTGGCTCTCAAAAGAAATTTCAATCGTTGTTCTGTTGATATTTGGCTCTGTTGACTAATAAGTTTGCGGACCACTGGTCTGAAGAGAGAGAAGACTGAAGAGAGAGAGAGAAGGCTTTTAAACTTCGGGTGGGAAGGGATCTTAATTTTAAGAACCCGTGAAAACTCCAGTTAGGTTAATTTAGAGTCTAGATTGATGTTTGATTCTTGATGTCTCTTAAAATTATATTTTACATTAGTTTGCAAATTTCTTTTTAATTCAGAGACAACGTTTCTTAACTGTATCATAATGAAATGTGTGCTCTCTTGTAGGTAGAGCTGAGTAAAGAAGAAGTAAAACGTCTTATTGCTGAAGCCAAGGAAAAATTACAGTAAGTTTAGGCATGTTGATGTTTGTAGCAAAGTGCAGATGAAATGTAAATCTTAAGTAACGATGACAAGGTGGTCTTGTTATTGAAGGTGCCATTTGGGTGATTCCTTTTTTCTCTGCCATAGAGAAGAAGGTGGCAGCGAGGAAGAGGAGACGGGGGAGCCCTCAGAAGATGGCATGCAGAGTGCGCGTACCCAGGCACGGCCACGGGAGCCCTTGGAGGATGGCAACCCAGAGGATGATAGGGCCGTGGAGGATGATGAGCTGGCCGAGTACGAGCTAGATCGATATGACGAGGAAGGCAATCCAGGTCAGAATCCACTCGCTGATACTGGCATTTAATCGCCAACCCCATGCGTTAGGTCAGCGATTTTCAACCTTTCTCAGCTCGTGGCACCTCTAAACTAATTCCTAAAATCTACAGCACCCCAAAAAATACATTTGTTGCTGATCTGACAAAGATATACGTATGATTTTAATTTATTCCCATCAGATGGCTATTGTTGTGTTGGCTGTTATCATTTTTTTATTTGACAGTCTAAGGAAAAAGAGGTCAGTGTCCCTGCCTAGTCAGATATTGCTTTTGTTTTTGTTTTTGTTTTTTTTTATACTTGCAGCATATCCATGTGCCGAGGCACATCAGTTGAAAATTACTGCGTTTGATCATGCTTCTAGTGTTTTAGAGCTATATTCTGAGATGATGTTGTTTTTTATGTCAGTCACATAATCTGGCTCAATACTTAGGAAGACAGCATGTTCCCCAAATTAGTTTAGAAATTAAGCTCTAACCCACTAATCTCACATGTAAAAAAAAAAAAAAAAATACTATTGTATATTTTATTTTATTGCAACTAGTGGGTATAACCACCTGTAACATATATTTCTTTGTCTGCAGTAAGAGGAATTATTAATTCCATTTAACAGAATAGAACACTGAGGCTTACGAAGGTGAAATAACTTTGCCAGTGTCACGCAGATGGTGAATATTAGTGCTATTATATGTCCCTGAAGCCTAAGTTGAAAATATTTTAACTTGAAAATGCATTTAATACACCAGCCAAACATTGCAGCTTAGCCTTGCTGGTTTCCAATGAATGTGTACTGCTTTTGCACCATCAGAAAATTGAAATATTGAGTCAGACCATCTGAAGTCAGGGACCAACTGTTTACTTCAGGAGGTGCAGAGGGTAGTTTCTCCATTGGACTCTGGGTTGTTACTAACCTGTGAGGACAGAGTGGGAATACAGAGAGGAGGAGAGCCCAAGCAGAGGAGACGCATTCAAAAATGTTCCTTACCTTCTCCACACCCTGCAGCTCATTGTCTCCGTCTTTCTCATTCAGTAGAAATTCCCGTGTCTGTTGCCTTTCATAAGTTTAAGACTTACTAGTGCTACCTCCTTAAAGTAGTTTTCCCTGACAATTTAAGAGTATCTTCTTTGAGTTTTATGTTACTTGGGATGAACACTCTGTCACCCTTGCAGATATGCCATGAAAGAATTCCATTTTGAGGTAAGGTTAGTGAAAAAAGGCATATAATAACCCCTCTTTATGATTCATAAGGCAAATTAGCATATCAGAAGTTCTGAGAAATCTTGCAATAAAGAAACCCATTTAACTGGGAAACCCATCATTTTTCAATTCTGTTTGACCAGGAAACAAACTTACTCTGTGTTGATGCCAGTGTTTTAAGATAATTGCATTTCTAAGTCCTCGAGGCTGCCTCTGCAACACTTTTGAACAATGATTACAAAGAGCTAGAGATCCAAGCAGAATTCAGAAATCTCCTGAGAGAATTTCACATTTTGTTGTAATTCTTTTATTCCGAGATTATCAATTCCAAAGTCAAATATAAATGGCTTTTAAATTCCTGTTTTTATTATCTATTGCCTTTCCCATCTATGGGTGATCCAGAGTTAGTTATGAAACAGACGGTGGAATCTAAGTCTAAAGATAGGATGCCTTAGAAAAAATGATTTTGTGACTGTTTTATTCATTTTAGTTTATGAATCCTTACAGATACTGAAACTCTCGGTGAATCTCTCTTGGGTCTTACAGTCTATGGGAGTAATGATCAAGATCCTTATGTTACTCTGAAAGATACGGTAAATGTTTACATGGCCTTTCTAATTATGCTTCTTGAGGTTTGGAAAACCTCACTGAATATCTGCTTCTAATTAATGACTTTTTTCTCCCCACTTAGGAGCAATATGAACGTGACGATTTCTTGATTAAGCCCAGTGACAATCTCATAATTTGTGGCAGAGCTGAACAGGACCAGTGCAATTTAGAGATACACGGTGAGTGAAATGCCGCCCTTACCAAATGGTTCTAGTCTATTTTAGGGATTTTCAAGTAATACCCATAATGCTTACTGTTATGAATGGTTGGGTGTCAGAGCCTGCCTTCTCTCATTAACGTCTGTTACGTGGTTAAATTCTACACAGTCCACAGATTTCCTGGTTGCTTGCCTGGCTGTCGTCTGTGTCACTTTGGTACCCAACTTTATTTAGGGAAATAGGTCTCCTGGAAGTAGGTTCTAACAAGGGTTTTTATTTAATCTTTTATTTAAATATTTTGCTTCGTTATCCCCCCATTGGATGTAAAGGGAAAATATAATCCCATCACCCACAGATAACTTGTTCACCTGCTCTTTATTCTGGTTCCTTTCTGGCTGCTTTTTCGTTGTATGGCAAAGCTTATACTCAACAGAAAGGTTTTTATCTGCTTTTTTTTCTTTCCCCAGAGTCATTTCAAATATTGTCCATTTTGTGATACATTTTGTTTTCTTCATAAAAATCCTATTCAGAAATCGGCATTTCCCTTTAGGAACCAGGACATCTTTGTCACATTCCCAGTTCAGGGATGCTTGTGTCTAAGCCAGAAATGTCTCCTGGGACTCTGAAGTAGGCAGTGATTTGAATTTTTCTTTTTTATTTAAGTTTTTAAATCTCAAATTCTAATATTGATTTTTATTAATTAACAGACACTAATTGAGTGTTTCCTTGCCCTTTTGTTTCTCTGCATCCACCCTTAGACAGGTCCATCCCTGCCCAGTTAATCGCCTTCCCCACTGTGTTCTAGTCATGTCTTCGATTTGATGCTTCAATGAGATTGTTGTAGTTTGGAAATTAAGACCTTTAAATTTAATGTTTATTGGCATCTTCCAGGTTACTTTGTCATTTATTCTATCATGTTGAATTTCTGTAACTTCACAGTCTTTAAGGCTGCCTACAGGAAGTCTATTGAACAGGCTATTTTTATCCCATGTCCCATTTCGATTTATCTGCATATGTAAAAGTCTAAGCGGCTGAACAAATGTTTGACCAGTCGCTCTGACATGCACTGACCACGAGGGGACAGATGCTCAACACACAGGATCAGGCTCTCCTGTCTGGATCAGGCCTGTAGGGTCGGGCCAAAACCGGCTATCTGACATCCCCTGGGGGGACCTGGATTGTGAGAAGGTGCAGGCCAGGCACAGGGACCCTACTGGTGCACAAATCCGTGCACCAGGCCTCTAGTTTATAAAATAAAAAAGAGCTTTAAATTGCAGATATTTCAATATGAAGTTATTCTAATTATCTTCCAATTAATGTATTTCATGCGAAAACCACATTGGTAAAATTTTTATTTTTAAACAGTTAAAACTTACAGTTTGTCTTTACTGATTTTTATACATTTTCATGTGAACTTATTGTGGTCATTCCTTTTTATTAGTGAGTATCAGAGGAGTTGAGAATTTAAAGCAATTGTATTCCTACTTCTATATTTTATTTGGATTTAGTGTGAAGCCCCAAATTATCCAGTAATCTCTATTTAAGAATATTTGCAAAATTGCATTTTAAAGCCTATCTGAATGTTGATCTGATATGATTAAAATTAGGAGATTGTTTTAAAGCATCATCTTTTTATTTAAAATGTAGGCTGAATACATTGACCAAAGCTGAGGTTCTCATAGGACCACAAGCTAGTCATTTTGAACATGCATTCTCATCCTTAGTGATAAGATAGTGCAATCCAGATCTGTCCCAGAAGCAGAGGTCTGAGGAATTAAAATCTTAGGTTACAGTGTTAACAACACTTCCTACCAAAAAAAAAAAAAAAAAAAAAGGCATGTTTGGGGGAAATTTCTATTTGGGCTCTAGTTTATCAGTATTTTTAAAAGACTTCTTAGTTATTGAGTTTAACAGTGTTTTTTTCTCTTAATGAAGGAGTTAAGTCTTATAGTTGCCATATTCCCAAAAAGTGTTCTCAGGAATTTTATTTACATTGTTGGTCATCATAAACTTTTTTCAATATAATGAAGTAATTTTGCTAAGCATTTAGGTTTCTAAATGAGTTCTTTCTCTTCAGTCCTTTTTCTATTTGTTGTTCTCTACTTATAACCAGATAGACCTTTAAAAGATAAAATAATAATTGGTCATACTATGCTTAATGTGGGGATAAATTCTGAGAAATGCATAACTAGGCAGTTTTGTCCTTGTGCAAACATTACAGACCTAGATGTTATAGCCCACCTCACACCTGGGCTACATGGATAGCCTATTGCTCCTTGGCTGCAGGTAACACATCCAACATATTACTGAACAAAACAACATGAAATTGTCAAGCACAGGAGAAAATGATGCAGTTAGCTATATGAGGCTGCTGCCAGATTAACCAACATACTATGGATTTTTTTAATAAATAGAGACAGTACACACTGACATAAAAGAATATAAAGTATAGTAATTATTAATGTAATTGTTTATTATCATTATCAAGTACTATGTATTGTACATAATGCAGTGTGGTACTTTCATATGACTCCCCATGCAGATTTGTTTACACCAGCATGACCACAGTAACACATGTCACTGCAATGTTATGTCAGCTACGATGTCACTAGGCGATAGGAATTGCTCGGTTTCATCATAATCTTAGGGGACTGCTGTCAAATATGTGGTCTGTTGTTGGCTGAAACATGCTTCAGTGCATGACTGTGCTCCTTAGGGAGACCTCATGAGTGATTATTCTCTGTAATGGGGGAACCAGAAGAGGGGACCATTCAGCCGTGAGCGTGCAGGTGGTGTATTCAGGCAGATGTCAATTCTGTGTCAGTGTTCTTGGCCCCAGCTGGGGCACACCAGGTGATGGCAATCTTTTAGACATGCGGATATTTCACCTAGCAGTAACAGCTCGGGCATCTCCTTTAATATCATCAGTATGTCTCCTTTATGCATGTGGCACCTGCAGGTTTAATAAGGAGAGTCTGTTCTTTTGAGTGGTATGTGATTTCTTACTCTGATACAATAAAGTCTTTTCCAATCTTTACAGTTTACAATCGAGAAGAAGATTCTTTTTATGTACACCATGATATACTGCTGTCTGCATACCCTCTGAGTGTGGAATGGCTGAATTTTGATCCTAGCCCAGACAATTCTACCGGTAATTAGAAAACTTAAGGTTGCATGTGGTTCTTGTCCTGTGTGTTTTTCCTAGCCACATAAGTTAGGTATTCTGTATGAATGTTTGCAGAATTAATTGATGTTTTATGAAGTTAACATTATTTTATGAAGTTGTTATGTAATTCTTAAAACACATCATGTAATTGTTTTGGGTTATATGGCTCTACCCTTCAGATAGGCAGAACAGGGCCTGAAAGCATTTTGGGCTGCATAACTGTATGATGGTCTCATAAAACCCAGTATAGCCCTAGCCTATTTGGCTCAGTGAATAGAGCGCTGGCCTGTGGACCAAAGGCTGCCAGGTTCGATTCCGATCAAGGGCATAAACCTTGGTTGCAAGCTCCTCAACGGCCTGGGCCTGGTCAGGGTGCATGCAGGAGGCAACCAATCGATTTGTTTCTCTCACGTCAATGTTTCTCTCTGCCTTTTCCTCTCTCTCCCACTCCCTAAAAAGCAATGGAAAAATATCTTCAAGTAAGGATTAACACACATATACAAAAAAAAAAGTATAAAATGGCATAATGTGTCTGATGTTATCAGCTAGAGTTCAGGGGCAAGGTCCTTTTCAGAAAACACCAAATAAGACCAAAGTGAAGAGAGACTAAAGTTCTCATGTTAGTCTTTTTAGCCAAAGCTTCACACTACTGTCCTGTCCTATTTGTTCTGAACCAGGGTAAAGTCTGATACTCATGACCTTACATCTCATTTATAAAGCTGTTCACATTCCTGATTGGTCAGATCCTTATCCTTAAAACATCCGTGAAGGTTGGAAGGGGTTTTATTGTTATTAGCTAAGTGAGGACCTGGAGCCAAGAGACGGGAGACCTTGTTACTGAGCCCTTTTGACCCAAGAACCTAGCAGCACAGCATTGGCATCATCCGGGAGCTGGTTAGAAATGCACCCAAGACCTCCTGAATAGAATCTGCATTTTACTATATGCAGGTGATGTGTATGCAAATAAAGTTAGAGCAACTGCTCTCTGCCATCGCTCAATTACTCTACAGTGTTGTGCATTTTGTCAGGAGTAATTCTCTTTTCCTGTCTTTGACATGTCCTTAACCAAATATCTATGAATCACATACTACGTACAAGGCTCTGGTGCCAGCAAGAACTCACTTTTAAGTCATAATTACATTTCCTCCTGTAGGAAATTATATTGCTGTGGGAAACATGACCCCCGTTATTGAAGTGTGGGACCTGGATATAGTGGACTCTTTAGAGCCAGTCTTCACACTTGGAAGTAAGCTGTCAAAAAAGAAGAAAAAAAAAGGAAAGAAGGTAAGCAAGTTAACATATTTAGTGACAAACTTAAGTTTACTGGGGCTAGGGCGAAGAGGGACAAGATCCTACTCTTTTTTTTAATTAGACATTCTTGGTGTAACAGGCCAGGTAGTTATAAAGTTACAGTAGTTTATAGTTTTAAAAAGCTCAGCAAAGGAAAAAAGAAAAAAAAAAAAAAATATATATATATATATATATATATATATATATGTGTGTGTGTGTGTGTGTGTGTATGTATATGTATATATACACATACATACACATATATATGCATACATATATATATTTATATATAACCTGTTAACATCTTAGTCATAATTTCCTTTATACTAATGATTAACACTAATATGCTAGTTTTGAACTTTAAAAATTTTCCATTTAGTCTTCAGTATGTTACTAAATATTCATGTATTAATTCCTGTAACTTTTACTCTGTTAATTTTGGGGGAGGGGAGCTGGTATTTGTAGAATTATATCATATATATTAAGAACTACTATAGTTTCTCCTCTAAAGATTCTTTCTCATGGCACTATAACAGGGAGACAAGGTGCTTCCTTTTCTTAGTCTTCAGGTTTTCCTAAGATCAGAACAATAGTCTTAAGATTTAAAGAATCTTTAAAATTAGTTTTATTTGGGGGAGACTTTGATACAAAAAGTAATTAATAATTGCAGAGTTCCTCCGCAGAGGGGCATACTGATGCTGTCCTGGACCTTTCTTGGAATAAGCTGATCAGGTAAACAGACTTACTGTTCTGAGGGTTGTCTTTTCACTTTCTAGATGATGTCATTTGCTGCACAAAAGTTTTGCATGTTCAGGATGTCCAATTTCTTTTGGTGCTTACACTTTTGGTGTCATATCATGGCTTAACCCAAGGTCATGAAGACTTACTGGTATACTTTTTTCTTGAAAGCTTTATAATTTTGACTATTGATTTAGGTCTGTGATCTGCTTTGAATTATTTTTTGTGTATAGTATAAAATAGGGGTCTAATGTCATTTTAAAAATCTAAATATATAAAAGCCCAAGCGACTCTCTGACCGGTAGCTATGACGTGCACTGACCACCAGGGGGCAAACAGTCCGGTAAGTTAGCTTGCTGCTGGGGTCTGGGCAAGATGGGCTGAACACATCCTGGAGCCCTCCTGCGGACCCTCCCTGGCCCCGATTGTGCACCGGTGGGATCCCGGATTGTGAGAGGATACAGGCCAGGTTCAGAGATCCCACCAGTGAATAATCAGGGCCTCTAGTCTGTGTGTGTGTGTGTGTGTGTGTGTGTATTATTGATTTCAGAGAAGGGAGAGGGAAGAGAGAGAAACATTAATGATGAGAATCATTGATTGGATGCCTTCTGCATGTCCCCAACTGGGGATGGAGCCCACAACTTGGATATGTGCACTTGACTGGAATCAAACCCAGGACCTTTCAGTCTGCAGGCCGACACTCTATCCACTGAGCCAAACCAGCCAGCCCCTAATGTCATTTTTTAAAATTGATTTTGTAGAGAGGAAGGAAGGGAGAGAAACATCAATTTGTTGTTTCACTTATGCATTCATTGGCCGATTTCTTGTATGTGCCTTGGCTGGGTATCAAACCTGCAACATGGACATACCAGGATGCTCTAGTCCAGTGGTCTGCAAACTGCGGCTCACAAGCCACATGCAGCTCTTTTGCTCCTTGAGAGTGGCTCTTCCACAAAATACCACGGCCTGGGCGAGTCTATTTTGAAGAAATGGCATTAGAAGTTTAAGTTTAAAAATTCGGCTCTCAGAAGAAATTTCAATCGTTGTACTATTGATATTTGGCTCTGTTGGCTAATGAGTTTGCTGACCACTGCTCTAGCCAACTGAGCTACTGGACCAGGGCTCTAGCATCATTCTTTTGCAGGCACCTATCCCTTTGTTGAAAACACTGTTCTTTTCCCTATTGAACAATGGGTAACGTTAGCACCCTTGACCATAAATGAGGGTTTGTTTCAATCAGTTTTCAAATCAGAATCTGATTTTGTTCAGCTTTGCTCTTACTTTTTAAGATTATTTTGGATTCCTAGCATTTCCAAATAAAGTTTAAATCCAACTTTTGTCAGTTTTCTGCAAAAATGTCAGCTGGGATTTTGAAAGGGATTGGTTTAATCTGTAGGTCTATTGTTTTAACATTAAGTCCATGCACTTGGAATATCTTTCTTAATTTAGATATTCTTTGAATTATCTTTTATAGTTTTCAATATGTACGTCTTGGATCTTTTATTAAATTTATTCCTAAGTATTTTCTTCTTTTTGATGCTATTTAAATGAAATTCTTACACTTAACGCTCTTGATCTTTAAAAGATTACATGACTTGTTTCTTCCCTTTCTCAGAAATGTGCTAGCAAGTGGGTCAGCTGACAACACTGTGATTCTATGGGATATGTCCTTGGGGAAACCAGCAGCTAGCCTTGCTGTGCACACAGACAAGGTATGATGATTTAGTGGGTTAAAGGGATTCTTAAAAATCTGGGACAAATAATGGCTACAAATAATCCCAAATATTTAAAAATGGCTTTTCGTGAATCAGAGTGCTTTGACATGCTCTCTCAGTGGATCGTCCCAAAGGCCTGTGTGATAGATAGTTATCCATCTCAGGTGCAACAACAGGTGCTGGAAGATGAAGTGACTAGGAACATTCGTGCTTTGTAGCATGTTGACAGAGACTTCTAAAATGTACACTGGGGGCCCTTACAGCATGTAGAGTTGCCCAGTTGTTTGACCACACTCCTTTTTCTCCTGAATATATTTTAACACTTGAAGGACATATACATTAAGCCAAACACAAGTTGGGGGATGCTGTATTATGTCAGCCTTTATTTGGAAAGTGTTTTGTCCTTTTGATCTTGTAGTAAATTTATATTCCTTTAAAGAGGGCTAAATTTCAGGGGAAATTTCTAAAAACACTGCCAAATTGATTCTCACCAAGAATTAGGCAGTTTTACCAAAATCAAACAAGCAGATTTATTCATTTACCTTTTTTTCCCCTTGTAGGTCCAAACACTACAGTTTCATCCATTTGAAGCACAGACTCTGATTTCTGGATCATATGATAAGTAAGAAAGCATTGCATTTCAGAAATTATAACGACTGTTTTTATCCCCATGAACTAACTCAGAAAGCATCACTGATGCTCAGAGAGAAAGCCCTGCTGAGGCACCTGTGTGTTTAAAATATTAATAATACTTATTTGTCCTTTTCAATTTTAGCCATTTCAGTCTGCAAGGGAATGTGGTGTGTCGTGACAATGTAGTTCCTAACTAACAACTACTTTGATTTTTAGAGGGTTCATGAGTTAGCCATTGCTATGAAACCAGCCATCCCAAAATTCAGTGATGTGAAACAATAACTGTTTATTTCACATGCCTCTGAAAGACTGAGCTAATCTATTCTGTATTCCGTGGTAGCTCTGCTCATCGTTTGATTATGGGCTCTGGAGACTTGGCTCTCCCCGCATTTCATCTCCTCCTGGGACCAGCAGGCGAGGTCAAAAGCTCAAGCAGAGATGTCAAGGCCTCTTGAGACCTAGGCTCACACTAGTATACTTGTCTTAGTCTCTGGCCAGAACAGACCACGTGGAGCAATGACCTCTGCCTTTGTGGAAAGAATTCCCATGTCACTGACGGCATGGCTGTGGGGGAGGGGAAGAATTGGCCCGCTAGTCTGCTACAGGCTCTGGAGATGGGGAGGATAGCTCGTAGAAACAGAAACTCAGTCTTCCTTTTCATTCCATGTCCTTTTGAAGAGTGATCTGTTCACATTGTTTAGTTGGGATTCATGCAGAATTAGAAAAGTATCCATAGGTTCCCCCAACAAAGTAGCCTTTTTGTACAGAGTAAGTGCGACTAGAATGGGTGATCTGGCTCTGAGCACGACTGGGGAAGGGAAATGAGAAACTGTCCTGGTCTTTCAAAAATACAGATAATTCATCTTGTAAGCGGAGAATTTGACCTGGAAAAGGTCATGCTCACTGTGACATTCAGAACCACCAGTCCCTTCAAGTGACAGGGTCCACCAATCAATGAAAATCAACTCATCTTTTCTATTTTGGAACCTCAAAGCAGGCTTTAAATAACTGGATCCTGACTTCACACTGTTTAATTCCCATGTTATTAATAAAACACGTAGGAGAACTGGAACTCTGAAAACCCTACCTTTGCCTCTGTATGTGCAGGTCAGTGGCTTTGTATGACTGCCGAAGTCCAGATGACAGCCATCGAATGTGGCGATTCAGCGGGCAGATTGAGAGAGTGACTTGGAATCATTTTTCACCTTGTCACTTCTTGGTAAGATTGTGCATATTACTGTATGGCTTACCCTGGTTACTAATACTTATTTCTTTAATTCTATTATAGAGAGACTCTCTGAAAAGCTTTTCTGTATTAATGTGATTTGGAGAGAGAATAATGAACCAGCCACAGAAAAATAGTAAATGTAAATAATTTTGCTAATTTCCAATCATTCCAAAGAGTGCCAATTTTTATTTTGATCATTTTATTGTATTTTTAAAAAATACATGGTTAATATTCTGTAGCACTGTCCCCCAGATAGGAAACATATGTTTCTGTAAATACCCTCAATATCTGTAGGATGACAGTTTTCTATGTAGCATCCAAATATTCCATTGACACTTCAATCCATGGGAAGATGAAATCCGAGCATTTTCCTAACGTAAATATGTAGGGCTTTGTAAACGAGGGAAAGAGTTCTTTATAAAACAGTGTTCTTAAAATATGTGGACAGTTTTTAATACGGTTCCTGAAATAATAGAGCTCACAGTTGAGCTAGCTACCCTAAACTGGATCAGAAGTGAAGTCCCTGTTGTATTTGAGTTGTACTTTAGTTGTCAACAGTCAAGCACACTCATTCCTTAGGTTATTTGTTAACAAATGGTCATCGGTCCTCACATCACAAACATTTAAGGAAATGAGAAGTGATCAGAATCAAATGGTCTAGTCTCAAAGGATGACACCACCTTCCCTTGATTTTATCTCCATCCACAGCCTAGTCTATGAGACTACATCAGTTATCCTTTCTCTTTTTTCTCTACTGGCTTTGGTTTTGGCTCAAGTCTCTCTCCCATCCTTGACTAGGTCTGTTTCTGAATTCCTTTGTTTCTTCTCCCTAACATGAATGGATAACAACCCACTGTAATCTGCCTTTTATTTTTATTGATTTCAGAGAGGAAGAGAGAAAGAAACATCAATGATGAGAGAATCATTGACTGGCTGCCTCTTGCACATCCCCCACTGGGGATGGAGCACACAAGCCGGTCATGGTGCCCTTGACCGTAATCAGACTGAAGGCTGATGCTCTATCCATTGTACCACACCAGCTAGGGCTGTAATCTGTCTTTCAGTCCTTATATGATTGATTCTCCCCACCAAAATATTGCCAGCATTCATTGCCTTTCTTCAGAAGCCCTATTTCATTGTCTTCCTTGACAGTCTTCCCTCTTGATTCGGTGAGCCCCTCCCCACCCTGTACTTTAACTGGCCATACTTCCCATGCCTCAACACACTGGTCTTTATTATCATTTTCCATCATTTATCCCCTCAGGTAAGTCAGGTATGTGGCTGACTTGCACTATAATTTATACTGTTTACCCATTGTTAAATGATGTCATATAGCATGGTCTTGCCCATCTTTTACTCTTTCCAGGCCAGTACAGATGACGGCTTTGTATATAATTTGGATGCACGTTCAGATAAGCCAATTTTTACACTAAATGCACACAATGATGAAATCTCTGGTGAGCAAAAATAGTATTTAATTTCTTTTAAATTATGATCAAGTAGATCTATACCTCAAAGACATTAAAGTCCGTGAACTAATCTTCCTTTAGGTCTTGATCTCAGCAGTCAAATCAAGGGTTGTCTTGTGACTGCATCAGCAGACAGATATGTGAAGATCTGGGACGTGTTAGGAGACAGGCCCAGTCTGGTTCACTCCAGGGACATGAAGATGGTAAGGCTGTTTTCTGTTTCTCACCTGCATTGTCTGTCATTCTCCAGGAACCATTGCATTAAATACGGATTTATTGGGCAAATTGATTTTGAGCTTAGCCAAATTTGGTGAGATTTATGATGTAGGATGGTTAAGGTGAAATCAATGACTATTTCTTACCCTAAAATCAATATAGTCCCAGGGAATCTTGAACCTTTATGGCACCATAGTGATAATTTTATCACTTCTTTGCATAATTAGTCTAAAATTGATTACTATGTAGTGGCAAAAGAATTAGAAATAATGCATTCATTCAGCATTGCATACTTATTGTGTGCCATGCACCGAGTTATATAAATTAAGTTGCAGACACAGAACACTGTAACTGTTTAAAAGTGAATATATGTGTGTGTAAATATTTGTGGAAAGGCAGGTAACAGAAGCAATTTTTATAGTATCATTCATGCTTAGATTTAAATGTTTTAAGTGCTTGAGTATTTTTAAATCTAGAAGACCCTATCCCAAAACATGAACAGTGATTATCTTACCTAGTGGTTTTTATAACTTTTTGTTTGTTTTCTATGATACACGTGTTCTCAGTAACAAAAAATGTAGCAAATGAAAGCATTAAAAATTTGAAAATGTCTTAGCAGTGACCTTAGTGACCTTTAAAAAGAATTAAAATTGCTTAGTAGATGAGATTTAATAGGAAATGCGTAATAGAATGGTAATGGAGGTGAGAGATCTGAGTGGTCACCCCCAGCACACACATCCTCACAGAATGTCCATTATGCTGAACTTGTCTGGCTTCCTAGTACAGTCTTCTTTCCAGCCTGACTGACTCTCTCTTCTCCCCAGGGAGTTCTCTTCTGTTCTGCCTGTTGCCCCGATTTGCCATTTATGTATGCCTTTGGAGGTCAGAAAGAAGGGCTCCGGATCTGGGATATAAGCACAGTGTCTTCAGGTAAGAATCTTAATTTCCTGCCTTTTCTGAATGAGTTCTGTAAATAAGTAGCAAAGGTATATCCTGTGGTCGCCCTGCAGTATAGCTTCTTTAGGACTGGATTAAATGTAATTGAGAAATGTTTATGCTCACAAATAATTTTGTCTTTAGACTTTGAAATGTATGCCATTAAAAAATATCTATTATCTTTATACGTCAAAACTTAAATTTTAAATTTAAAGATCTCAATGGGAAAACTGAAAGGAAATGTAGCATGGCCTCAAAAGAATGGCCCTCTCAGGATGAATAAATCTGCTCTGCTTACAGGGCCCCTTCCTTCCTGGGGCCTGGCTGCTTGCTTACTGCTTTGAGGTAGTCTGGTTTGTCCTATAACATGGAGCCCCACTATCCAACTCCTGAATCTTCCCTTCGTAGAGAAAAAGGATCCTTTGTATAAATGACAGAGATATAATAGATGAAGGAAAATAAATAGGAAACTCTCAGAAGTAGAACGATGGAAGGATAGAGTCATTGTTGTAAGTGTGGGACATTTGTTATCACAGTGGATTAGATAAATCCAGGGCAAGGCAAAGAAAATATTCTTTAAAGTAGTCATTTAAAAACATGATTACCCTCATTCAGAGCATTAAGTTGAACTTCTGAGTTGGTTACTTTCCCATTTACTAAGTAGTAAATATATTTTCATAAACAAAATTTCTACCTTAGGTAGAAAAACTTATTTTTCTGACCTGGTAATTGCTTAACTCTTTGTGTTCTAGTCAATGAAGCATTTGGAAGACGAGAGAGGCTTGCTCTTGGTAACACAAGGAGTTCGTCAATTAACGGTCCTTTTGGAACCAGGAGCTCAGACACACCCATGGAGACTTAATGAGGATCGTGCAATTTCCCGTTTCGTTCACCTTACCTCAGTTTTAGAAGCTGGCCTACAGACGTTCCATGTGTAGTGACAGAAGCAAAATTGATTTCCAACTACCTGACATTCCTCTGGTGGTAGCTAAACAAGGCTGCTCTGTGTGTTTGCTGTTCCAGTCTGCAGTGTATAGATTTCCTTAGGAAGAGTAATAAAAAAGGTTTTAAAAAAAGATTCCTTAAGTATGCCATCTGTCACAGGTAATTTAAGTTTGTAAAGTAGCTAGTAATTTACAGTGTTTTGCTCTTTTTTTAAAAATTATATGATCTTAATAGATGGGTAAACCCAGGCCAGGAGGAGTTGTGGTTTGGCCAGTATTGCACACCAGGCCACAAACCAAGGAGTAGTGCCCTTTCTAAACTGACCGCTCTCCAGTTAATGCTCAGGACTTAGAAGTGTTCTCAAAGAAGAGAGACATATCATGATAAAGGTTCAATCCAACAAGAAGATATAACATTCATAAATTTTATGACCCCAACATAGGAGCAGATAAACACAGTAATAGTAGGGGCCTTTAATATTACACTTTCCCCAGTGGCTAGATCCTTCTGACAGAAAAACCAGTAAACTGTGTCCTTAAACTTGTTAGACCAAGTAGACTTGAACATTCCACCCAAAAACAATACAGATTCTTAAGCACACATGGAAAATTCTACAGGACAGATCATGTTATATCACAAAATGTGTCTCAATAAATTTTTACTTTAGTTTTTCTTTTTTTTCCCTCTAGTAATCACTTGCCTATATATGAAGGTTGTAGGTTTTGTTTTGTTTTTTAATACCTTCACCTTTTTCACCCGGCCCCCTACCCCAACTATCTCCCCTCTAACGACCTGTCACTCATAAAGATTGAAGTCATATCAAAATATTTTCCAACCACAATAGCATGAAACTAGAAATCAATTATAAGAAAATTGAAAAGTTCACAACTATATAGAAATTAAGCACGTACCAAACAACCATTGTGTCAAGAAAGAAAATAAAAAGAGACTAAAAATACAATAAAAAATACCAATGAAACCAAGAGCTGGGTTTTTTAAAAGAACATTGAGCAATCTTTAGACCCAGAAGACTCAAAAATAGAAAACTGATCCCACAGAAATACAAAAGGTCATAAAAGACTGAACAAATTATATCCTAACAAGTTGGACAACTTAGAAAAAAAATTTTCAATAGATGACTACTAAAAATCTCCCAACAAATGTAGGACTATATGTCTTCACTGGTTAATTTTACCAAACATTTAAATAACCAACACCAATCCTCAAACACTTCTGAAAAAAATAGAAGAGATGGGAATACTTGCAAACTCATGAAGCCAGCATTATTATCCCAAATTGTGGCAAAATCAGAAAAGCACACACAAGAAAATTAAGGCTTATATACCTAATGAACATAAATGTATAAATCCTCATGAAATATTAGCAATCAAAAATATGTTAAAGGGATCATAAACTGATCAAGTGGGATTTATTCCAGGGATGGAAGGATGGTTCAATACCTTAAAGCCTCCACCAAAAACTTATGGGGACTAAAATTTACTAGTTGCAGGATACAAAGTCATATAGAAATCTATTGCATTTCTATACAATAATGAATTAGCAGAGAAATTTAAAACAATCCCATTTATAATTGCACCAAATAAAATATCTGAGGATAAAATTAACCAATGAGGTGAAAGACCTATACAATGAAAACTATTAGACATTGATTTAAAAAGACAAAAACAAAGACACTACATACTCATTGATTGGAAGAATTAATAGTTAAATGTCATAATTCATCTCACTAGTAGTAGCTAGATTCTCACTGCCTTGAAACCCAGCCAGAGTAAGGTAACTGAGATAACTCGATCAAATGACAGAATCTCAAGCTAGTTTAAGCAAAAGGAATTTATAAAGTGGTGCAGACAGTTCATACAATCACTAAAAAAAGGCTTGAAATGGAGTCCAGGCTGAGTTCTAGGAATGACACCCAATCCTGTACCACAGAAGTGAGCTTGCAATGCTTAGCTGCTGCTATGATCAGGAAGCTACCTACCACATCAGAAAACATCCACCACAGCCATCAGCTCCAAAATGACATCACACGTTGGTGAGATCCCAGCTAGGCCTTGACTCCCCACATAACTCATTTCTGAATCAAACTCACCCAGGGACATCAGATCAGAGGAACGTTGGTTTTGTTTGGAATCTTAACTCTAAAAGGAGTCTGGGAAGTGGTTTTTAACTTTCCAGACTCTACAGCACAGGAAAGCATGATTAAATGGGATTGGCAATCTCGAGTAGCTTCTTTGTATAATTCCTGTTAATATATACAAATAAACAACATGACCAGACAATAGGCTTTTTCACTAAACAAGATGTCTTAGAGATATTTCCATGTAGCATAGATTACCTTGTCCTTTTTGACCCCACTGTATTATTTAATATAGATGTGCCATAAGTCACCATTTTCTTCTGGGGGACACTTAGGTTTTTTCCATCTTCAGTGTTAAAACCACATCCTTACCACACCTGCAAGAAAGGAGTAACACTCTCCCCTTTATATATATATTTCTGGACTTTAAATTAGATTTCCTGGTCACAAACCATTGTTTTTCTTTATGTGTTCTACTCCACTCTCTTAAAATCTAACATCTTTGTTTCAAAAGACAATATATGCTCAATGAATAGATCATCCTGCTTTTCCTTTGCCATGAAACACTATTTGCTTTTTGGGAATTTCAGATGCTAAGGAGCCTGGTAGACTTTCTTCCAGTTACTGCATTATCTGGTGTAGGCATCTTAGAAAAAGTCCCTAACAGAATATTATGTCATCTCACACTTTTGAATAATTCCTTTTTCATAGACAAGTGCCAGTTGTCCAATTAAGAACAAGGGCCCCCACAAAGGGGTTTTCTGCTTATAAAAGTGCATTTCACAACAGTGCAATGTGCAACTTTTTTTTTCTTTTTTAATATATTTTATTGATATTTTACAGAGAGGAAGGGAGAGAGCGAGCTAGAAACGTCAATGAGAGAGAAACATCGGCCAGCTGCCTCTTGCACACCCCCTACCGGGGATGTGCCCACAACCAATGTACATGCCCTTGACCGGAATCGAACCTGGGACCCTTCACTCCACAGACTGACGCTCTACCACTGAGCCAAACCGGTTTCAGCAGCAACTTCTATAGGTAGCAGTGTGGTACACCTGAAATGAGGTGTCAAAACAGCACATTGTAGATTAGCATGGAAGAGAACGCTGGAGGAAAAATACACTGAGTGGCCAGTTTATTATAATCTATGAATGCATAATAATCTGGTCCCTCAGAGAGTGTGTGTGTGTGTGTGTGTGTGTGTGTGTATTTTAGAAGCCCGGTGCATGAATTTGTGCATGGGTGGGGTATGGCCAGCCTGGCCAGGGGAAGGGGTTTGGGCAGTTGGCCTGCCTGCCTGCTGGTTGAACTCCTGGTAGAGGGGACAATTAGTATATTAGCCTTTTATTATATAGAATATACACTGAGTGGCCAGATTATTAAGCGTTCAGAAATTATAATAATCTGGCAACTCAGTGTACATACATTTTAACAAGTACTCCAAAGCAGCAAATCACTGAACACAGAAGAGAGGAAATCTTAAATTTCTGAACTTCATTTCAACATCTTTAAAAATAGGATAAAACCTATTATAATATTCTGTGAGGACTAAATAAATATTAAACTAAAAGACACTAGTGCTGGTATAGATATAAATGTCACACATGCCCCTAGATCATGTTAGCTAAGAAGGGAAGGAAGGTATCTATTAACCAATGGTAGATCTTTCAAGAAGCAAACTTGCCCTAGCTGGTTTGGTTCAGTGGATAGAGCATAGGCCTGCGGACTAAAGCTTCCCAGGTTCAATTCCGACTAAGGGCACGTGCAGAGTTACGGGCTCAATCCCCAATGGAGAGTGTGCAGGAGGTACCTGATCAATGATTCTCTCTCATTGATGTTTCTATCTCTCCCACTCCCTTTCTGAAATCCAGTGTGTGTGTGTGTGTGTGTGTGTGTGTGTGTGTGTGTGTGTTTCGTTTTTTCTTAAGTAAACTTTCCCAAACTTTTTCTTTCTCTTTAAGTGGTTCTGGCCATAACGAATCTTGATTTTAACCCTATTCCAAAGCTCATCTCCAGCCTGTGCCTCAGTGAATCTGTAGCGGCATAAAAAGTGTGTATTAGGGGGAGGGGGAGGAAAGAGGGGACCGATACAGCAGAGCAGAAAACAAAGATCAAGGCATGAGCTCCCTAGACCATGTATGTAAATAAATACGTCTAAAGGGAATAGATTCTCTGTGTGATCTTTAAAAGGCTTGTAGCCCTGGTGAGATCCCAATTTTAGCCAAGCCACTTTTGAAGAATCAATAAAGCTTGGTGGAGTAGGCACAGACTGCCATTACTAGCTGTGCAACTGAGTGCCAATTACAGGAATTGCCTCACAATTCCAGAGACCAGAGGTCCGAGAAGATCAAAGTGTCAGCAGAGCCATCTCTCCTCGGCTTGTAAATAGATAGCAATCTTTCTCCGTGTCTTCCCCTGGTCTCCCCTCTGTGCTTGTCTGCAAACTTCCTCTTAGTAGAACACTAGTCATTACTGGATTAAGGCACATCCTAAGAAACTCATCTCTACCTTAATTACTTCTCTGAAGACCATACCTACAAATTATTGTCACATTCTCAGGAACTGGGGAGCTGAACTTCAAAACATGAAGGTAGGTGGGGGACCCTCCAACCCGTAACAGGCAATAGCCACTTGTACACCTGAAAATATGCCGTTTTTGAGTGACTAAGATGTAGCTAGGTGACCAGATACTGTAAGCTGACACTGACGTTGGGCTGACAGTTACACGTGTTAATGAGGAAGTGTGTGTTCAAGTCAGCAGGCTGGAACAGCTGAAGACTGGTTCCTGTCACCCTTTGCCCTCTGATGGGCCGAGGACCTCAGCTCAGCACACCTGCAAGGTTGTCAGCAGCTCCTCTTCAAGGAAGGAAGATACGCACACACACTGACCTACATGAACAGCAAATTAGTTTCTAGGCTTTGGCCTTGAAAGCTCAAATTATGCTCAGTTTTACTCTGGATTAATAAATCCAAGGGCTTCTTGGGCCTTTATTTTAGGATAGAAATCTGTGCTAACCCAACACTGGGCTAATGTTTACTATACATCAACGCTGTGACGGCCCTTTACCCATGTTAACATCAAACAGTATTATGAAACGGGAAGCCTTATTCTCTACTTACAGTAAACAGAGGCACGGAGAGGTCACAGAACTTGGCTAAGGTTACACACGATCACGCAGCAAAGCGCGGGCTGGAGAACATTCGGTCGGCTCGAGCGTGCTCTCATATCCTGCTTCTCGACATGACCATGTCCCCAACACAGCAGCAGAGAAGGCCACCTGCAACAGGCAGAGAAGGCTCAGAGCAAACAGTTACTGATGTATTCACCTCATGAGAACTTTGAATGTACATTTCTATTATAGTCTAAGAGGTAAAAAATGAAAGTAGCAAATAAGCGGTAAAAGTTAAATTCACACTTAAAACTGTTTTCCTCTATTGTTTTGGGGTTGTTTGTTTTTACATTAGGCTTCACCATCTTTGGCAGCATTAGGCAGTGAAGGAATCGAACCCAGCATGAGTCCTGAGATAAAGGGAGAAAGGAAGCTCACAGTTCCAGCACCCATGGTCTCTTGTGAACACGGGTGGCGTGCCACCAGGATGCCTTTGGTAAAAGGCTGAACTTGGAACTGCCTGTTGCACCAGAGCTGACCTGACCTGATGGAGGCACCCCTGCCTACCATCACCTCTTCCCCCCCTCTCCTGTAGACTAGCCACAGTTCTGCAAGGAGGCAGCAGAGTGAAGGCAGGACGTTAGGGAGCAGCAGGACACGAGCTGGAAGCAGGCAGCAGTTTGAGCACTGTTATGCAGACACACATTCCAATACAATCCCTAAGGTACAGGACTTAGGAAGTCCTCTCCCATTTCTAACCTTTAAAAAACTCAGTTATATCTGGTTTTCTTCTGAAAATTCATTCTTCTCCTTCTTCCCCAAAATGAGATAACAAGAAAATCCTGTATTTTTTAAAAAGTTTTATTTAATCCTTCCTAGAGGAATACAGATTTGAATGCAATACATTCATTCTATAAATACATTAGCAGCAAAACCTTCCCACCAGAGTCCTTGCTACTCCGAGCCAGAAGTTGTGCCTCAGCCCAGGAGAGCGTCTTCTAGCAACCGTCCACTTAGGATGTCTGCTTTTCACTGAAAGCAGGATGCACATGTGAAACCAGGTGAAGGACCACAGGTGAAAGAACTAAGCTGGGACCCTGAAAACACACCCACATGGGTTTCTGCCTTCCGAATCCTTTGGTATCCACCGTGCTTAACCAGCAAAGTTCACCAGAAAACTGGGCAGGCCTAGCCTAGCAAGTGCCCCGATGTATTTGGAGTCATTTGTCTGAGTTGGCAACAGTCTAATGATGTCTTGATCCTTTTCAGAGGGTAAGCCAGATATAAAGGATCATTTCCTCCTCCCTTCCCTGGGCCGAGGTGCCCCTTTGCCCACTGAGTCTATGTGTGCTTATGGGTGGGAGTTAATCCAGCAGCCATGACTCAGCTCTGCACCCAGGGCCCCTTTGGCTGGAAGTTTTATTGGAGACAGAGATAGGTCTAAACCTACCCAGATAGCTACGGAACAATAACCAGGTGCCTGACCCATCAAAGCTAGTTTCTTGGACAGTGGCCCTGGCATCTCTCCATCGTGGCCTATTGTATGGCTGCTCCTTTCTTATCTGCCCTCCAGGCACCTGCAGAAACTTTGGGAAGCAAGATCGACTCTAAATTCCCAAGTAGAGATTAAGGTGGGTGGGGCTTTAAACTTGTCGTCTGCAAAGGAGCTTACAAGTTTTCAGCTTACTGCTGTATTCGTCTGTTCTGGGACAAATACGTCACAATAGTCCATATGAAATACAACACTAGAACCACAGTCAGCAACTGGGATGACTATGAGGCGGGGACCCAAGTTTAGAGTACTGCGAAATCCTAGGACTGGGAAGAAAAGTGAACAATGAAATAATTTAAAATAAATCTCATTTGTTTGGGCAGAAGGCAGCTTTGACAGGGACATAAATATGACCAGATTATCATGTAAATACAGACCTCAAAAGTTGACTTTCCTTCCCACACAACACTTAAAAATAGGACACATGCTCTCTTCCCAACCTGTTTTAGTGTTTGCATTAGGCTATTCCCCGTTAAGTGCTTTATCCATTTCCATTCAGTCTGTTTTAACTGTTCGCTGGGAGGAAATCAGAAACCTTTTCCTATAAAAACCATTGTAGTGAATAACTGGTGATGTTTTTCCCTCTGCGTTTTCCATCCAAAACATTTGGCATCTTCTTTATTTATGTGCTGAGAGAGACTCATCTGCTGAATACACAGCACTGTTCATCCGACAGTCTTCTGTCCCCATAGCGTCTGCCAGCTCTTCCTCCTCTGAGTCATCCTCTTCCTCCTCCTCTTGTGCTGAAGAACTGGAGGTGGGCCCTTTGCAGGTTTTCAGGTGACGGGTGAGATGATATTTGGTTAAATAAGCTTTTGTACATTTTTCACAGACATAATCCCGCTTTCCTTCGTGTGAATTGAGATGTTTCTTTAAATGATTTGTTCTCAAGAAGGGCTTGTCACACTTGGGACACTTGATCTGGCGTTCTCTAAGAGGAACACAAGAAAAACATTTGGATGGATTACAAGTGACTGAGCCCACACTTACCCTTCACCACCTCGGGGCCCCGGTCAGAGCAGCTCTGCCCGTCGAGAATCAGACTTCTATAGGAGATGTAGCACACAGACGAGTCATAAAACATGTATCGTTTAAACAGCATCGACTGCCTGCCCATTTTGGCATTCTAAGTAAAAGGGATCATTCTGGATGTATCTTTTTGTCTGCTTCTTGCACTCAATATGGTATTTGTGAAATTCATTCAAGTTGCTGCGGGTATCAGTAGTCTGTTCCTTTACATTGCGGTACACTACTTACAAATACACAACTTACCTTTTGTTAAGGGTATTTTGGTGGTTTCCAGTTTTTTATTATCACAGGCAAGACTGCTACCAACATTTCTAAACCTGTATGTTGGCGTGCACATAATACATACTCAGGAGCAGTGTAGCTGGATCAAAACATATGCACATCTTCAACTCCACTAGATGAAGCTAAACTGTTTTACAATTTTGTTTTATTTACATACATGTCCATCAACAGCCACTTCAGCATTCCTGTTGCCCGCATTCTCACCAAGTGAAGACTCAAATTTGAAAATGTATGCCAATGGCCAGTCCATAACTATCTCACTATGGTGTCAATGGTAACCCCTACAACAAAAATTGACCCAGCTCCAAATGTCAGTGCCGTTTGAGTACCCATGACTTAGACATTTGAGAGCTGAAAAGAACCATAGAGGTCATACAGACCAGGAATTTTTAAACCAGGAATTTCTGGAGCAGTGGAAAGCCCAGTATGTGAAATAGATAAAAGGGTTACAATCCTTGAAGGAGTGGTAAGGTGCAGTGGGAAGCTTTGAAGCCTGGCTACTTGTAGCGTTTCTACCGCCTTCTCCCTCCCAGCAGGAGATGGCACTGGAGGGACCTGTGAAAGCACAGGATGTGGAAAGCTAAGCCCTTGCCTTTATGGAGCTTTCGTTCTAGTGGAAGAGTTACACATAGACAAATAAAAACATATGGCATGAGAGCAGCTAGTAATGAGCCCTGTGAGAAAAATGAAGCCAGGTAAATGGAACCCTATTTAAGTAAGATGGTCACAGAGGGCCATTCTAAGATGACATTTGATCAGAGACCTGAATGAAGTGAGGGAGGAAGGCGGGGAGAGGTTTCTGGGCAGAGACTGTACAGTATATAGTCCCTGAGACTGCAATGTGCTTAGTAAGTGGAAGTGGTAGCAAGGAGCGGGCCAATGTGGCTACAGCCAAATGTGAGGATAAAGTATTAAATGATGAATTGGGAGAGGTAGCCACGTACCTCTACCACATCATGAAGGGTTTCCAGGCTCCGATAGACCTTTTAACCCAGTGGGTGAAAAGATAGAGGAAACGATGGAAAGCCCCTGGAGAATGCTGAATAGAGATGGGCACCATCTGACTTGTTGTACGTGGATTGCTCTGGCCACTATGGACAGCATGCGGGTTCTGTGTGTGCACCAGCTGTGTGGGGGAGGGATGAAAGGGAAGAGCAGAAGCAGGAAGGTCAGCTGCTGCTGAGGGCCCTCTTCCTGGCTTGTCCTCACAGAGTGGACAGAGTGAGCCCACTCTAGTCTCTCTTCTCTTAGAAGGGCACTAATTCTATCAATGGAGGTCCGACCTCATGACCTCATAAATCTAATTACCTGCAGAGCACCTGGGCTGTGGGTAACTTACTGTGTGTGGATGAGCACATGCTGCTTGAGGTCCTGCCTCCGCATAAACAACTTGTCACAGTAATCACACTTGAGATTCTTCTCGCCCGTATGGATCACCATATGCGACTCCAGGTGAGCCTTCTGGGTGAAAGACTTGTCACACAAAGTACACCTGTAGTTCTTCTGGCCTGCACATTGAGCCAAAGGGTCACACTGTGACGGAAACCACCAGCAGCACTCTCAAGATGCACAGACCCCGCATGGGAGAGGCAGAGCAGGAGTAAACAGAACTGCCTGGGAGCTGGAACTTTACCTTCTAGGGCATCTTCCTAGAACCGCTCAGAGCCACGGAATTTACACTCAGCAACCAGCGCTAGTGAAGCTAACAAGTCTGACCTCCTTTTGGGACTGCTTACATATATATATTTTTTTAATGTTTATAGCAGACATAAAATTTGAAAAAAAAATCACTTGTCATCCTAGGGCTAGGCCTAAGGTAAATATATTTTAGCAACCTATATGTATAGTTTTCTCTCTTTTTTTAAACATATGACTTCTTAACACTAGGTCAGGGGTTGGCAAACCTTTCTCAAACTAGTCAGTATTTTAAGTCTTGTGGGCCATGCAGTCTCTGTTGTGACTACTCAATCTTAATGCAAAAAGATGAGGAAAGCCAAAATCGGTTTGGCTCAGTGGATAGAGCATCGGTCTGTGGACTAAAGGGTCCTGGGTTCGATTCCAGCTGGGGGCATGTACTTTGGTTGCGGGCACATCCCCGGTAGGAGGTGTGCAGGAGGCGGCTGGTTGATGTTTCTCTCTCCTCGATGTTTCTGGCTCTCTGTCCCTCTCCTTTCCTCCTCTCCCTTCCTCTTTGTAAAAAAATAAATGAAATATATTTTAAAAGATGAAGAATTTTACGTTCAAAGATTTGGAGAACAAATGAACCAGCCAAAAAAATGAAAACCTCATTGGTTATTTTATAGTATATGAAAAATGTAAGTGTTCAATGAAAGGGGTTGGTTTGCACGGAGTTTAGAAAATAGAAACTCAAAAAACAAAATTTTAACAATGTTTACTGAGCAATACTCAAAGGAGAGAGCTGGCTCCGCTGGTGACCCTGAGTGAGCTTTAATAGGAGCCTCAGGCTATTTCCTTTTGCTTTAAGTTCAAACAAATGAATCAACTTCCTGATTATTAACTGCATTTTCCCAGTCTGGGCACCTAGAAAGTGGAGCATCTTAATTGCTGGAAGTAACTCCCTCTGAGGAAGTACAGTTATCCCATCAAGATTTACCATCCAATGAAGTCCTGCAGACTGCCAGCGCGATTCATTCTCTAACACCTTACCTCAACTCTACCTGCAAGACTACCTCACTGAAAAGCCTTTACTACTGCAATTTCTAATTGTTGCAAAATTCCACGCTGATGGTCCATTACAACTTACCTGTATGGATCTTGAGGTGGGTCCGCAGGTTGCTGGGATCACTAAAAGCCTTGCTACAGAAATCACACTTGTGGGGCTTCATACCTATGTGACCCATAAAGTGGACATGAAGTTTGGAAGGAGAGATAAAAGCTTGGGGACACATTGAGCACTTCCACTTCCTTTCTTTGCTGTGGCCGGGCCTGTGGCTGCTGCTGTGGCCCTGGCCAGGAAGATGGCTATGGATGTGGCTGGTCAGGTGGGCTTTGAATTCTGTATAGGAATTGCACTCCTTGCCACAGTTACAGAGGTGCACATCTGGATGTTCAGGAACACCTTTAAAAAAATTAATATCTCCTGATACTTCCATTTTAAAGCTTAATTCTTGATATTAATAATTTTTGCTTACAATTTTCCCTTTTACCAAAATTTCCATCTTGCTATTACCTATAAAAATAAAATGTCTTATTCAATGCTCTATTCCCAGCCTCTCAAAACAGTGCCAGAATCACAGGAAGCACTCAATAAATACTGCACTGTAAGGTACATTTCCTAGGGGAAAAGTAAGACTGTAGCACACACAAACTCAGACATCACTTGCCATCGTATATCATGACACAGTGCAAGAAAAAGCCCAGGAAGGCTAGATCACGCAAGGAGTTCTGCCGTCCTTTATGAACTTCAATTGCAATGGTACTGGCTCAAAAAGCAGCCTGGGGAACACTGAATTCCACAAATCAAAGTGCTAACACAGAAGTTCGTTTCCTGTGAACACTGCTGGTCAATAACATTCATTTTGTGAAGAATCTCAGAGTTTCACCTTTCAACAGAGGGGGAATAGCCTGCTTTTATATACACAAAGGTTATCTGATGTGTTTCAACTGATGTTTAAATTAGCACCAAACCTTTACTTTTGGTTCTTGGTGTTAACTTACATTAACTTACCAATCTGCTGAGCATAATCCCGGCTGTAATAAAAAAGCAGTTCGTTTTCAGGAGGAATATCTTGTGAAGTGTAGAAATAAATTTTTCCATCATGGGGATAAGCCACCAAATTCTGTTCTTCCCGGTTCCTAAATTATCACATTTAATAGATCAAGCGTATTATTTTTGAATACGTACTAAACACATCATATCCTTACAGCAAAATCTTCTATGAAAACTTAAGATATAATTTTTCTGGATCACTTTTCTAGTTCCATATCCTATCTAGTGTGAAGGATGTGTGCAGAAACAGAATTCTTACTTCAGTACATCAGTTTATTGCCCTTTATAGTTAGAATCACTACAGTCTGTTACTGAAAGCGAGTAAATAAATTAATCTTTTACATAAGCAATATGACAAAGATACATAGATAGCTGAACAAGAATTAACCACAACTAACAGTCAATATAAAGAGAAGGTACCCACTAGAAAACCTAATGGCAACAGTATCATTCCTTATTGCGCTGGTAACTTGAGTAAACTGTTCATTAAAAGGAGGACAGTTTCTAGTGTTTTCCCATTTAAAATCACCACTAGTCCACAACTTCTGGAGTGAAGAAGGGGAAAAGCCTCAGGCCTTATAGTACGTGCAAACATCAGTGTAATTTGCATTTTCCAGCTCTTCTGCATTTTACACAAAGCTTCCTATTGAAAACCATCTAAATCATAATTCCTCTCACTGAGCCAAGACTCCGCTTACCTGGCTTTGCGCACAAACATCATCCAATTACATTCATTTTCGTCAGTTGTAACAATGCAGAATTCTAGGACACCGTTGTGGTATATCTGCCGAGAAGGCAACCATAGCGTCAAATGAGCTGACAAGCATACAAAATGCTACTTAATTAAAGCTAGCTATCTCATTTAGTTTGCAGCTTTCCCAGTCAATGTGAAAAATACATAGTTGCCTTCTCACCTGCTTGTCATTTCACCAGTCTCCCTATTACACTAACTGTAGGTCTCTGATGGTCCAGTAAAGACCAACAACTGAATGGACATTAAGGTCAGAGAACCATCTCTCCTCATTCTTTTCCCAATGGACCTAGCATTCTTCTATGCTCGGTCCATTGGGAAATACCAAAATTAAAGTCCCCAATGCCAGTGATACCTTATTTTCCAATTGTCCTAAGACTCACTTTCCCCTCCAATTTAAAGCATCATTTCCCATCTACTCAGATTCAATATAAACATGTTACAGGATATGTTGTTAAAACCTTGTGTTTTCAGTCCTCCCTTTGAAAAATTAGAGAAGCGATTTTACCTTCAAATTCAAGAACTGTTTCCCATGCTAAATATTTGAGGATGGTTTTAGCTTATTATAAAATAAAACTTTCATCATATAAACAAAGCTCATAGCCTTAGGTGCCACAAGTAATTCAAAAGGAGAACCATTTGACTAACAAAATTGAGACTAAAACAGTTTGCTGTCTTTATTCAATAGCCGGCATTTTGCTATATAATATATAGAACTTGGCTACCAAGAACAGAAAGGATGGAATATTAAATAAACAACTGACGCGTGAATGGCACTGTATTATCAGGGCTAATTTTGACCTTTACATCACTTTTAACTATCTTATAAAATAAAAATATCCAAAGTCATACAAAAGTTTCAGAAACACTGACCTTCCAGATATGGTTGACTGCCTTGTCTGTCCATTCTGCTACTTCCATAGAGTGACTTTGCTGGCCAATGAGAGGCCCAAAGCAAGTCCGCACAGGAATGGTTTCTCCTGTCCATACACCTGTCAGTGGAAGGACACCGATTACACAATCAGTAACTTAAACATCTCAGGACACAGAGACAGTAGCTTAACCCAAGCAAAGAATGTGATTTTCAGTGAACCTGAGAACTACTGGTATTCCAGAACCCATGAGAGGTAGCTAAGTCGTATGAGTATATCCTGTAAGGTGGAAAATGTAATGAACAGATAAAATGGGCTCAGAAGAAATATGCAGAGTAAGGAGTAATATCAGACATTTCTAAACCCAGTCTTATACACAACGAATCAAACCATGTCCCTCCAAATACATTACTTTGCAGTTTTCACATTAAAAGACTAGAGAATATTACTCTATTATAAAAATATAAAGCAACTGCTAAACTTCTCAAATTGTTTGTGCTTAAAGCACTGCTCTATATTATCTAAGCTGTTTCATGCTTTCAATTGACATCAAGCTACAGCTGAAAGAATAATGAATTTTGATTCATATTCTCCAAGACATGGCACAGTACTGCAGAAACCATGTTAAAGTAAAATATGGGTAAGCACACTCTGGCAGTATTCTTTACTCCTTTTCCCTAGAGAGTATTAGACAACTTACAAACACTCGATTTCAATATCTTTTCTAATAAATGGTTATCAGTGGTGAATTTTACATTTCTATAAAAGAAAGAAGTTTCAAGGAGTTCTGTTATGGTAATTCTTAGTGGATGCTACAGTGAGAATAAAAGGGAAATCTTCAAAGACTCAGGTCAGGATTCTCTCTTCTATTCAATTCTGACTCTAAGTAAGGAGACCATTTCCAATGAAGTTTCCAACTTGATTTATTCCTATCACCACTGGACAAGACAAATATTCCCTAAAAGGATAAATTCTAAGCCATAAACTGCCTCTTGGATTAACCAAACAGTCACTAAATTACACATGCCCACTTTTACAACTCTGCCTCACAAAGAAAGACGACGCTTGAAGGGGTTTATGGTCCTTACCAACTTCTGCTCCCACAATTGACTGGCGGAGAACAAGCTGCTTCGGGAGAGAAAGCCTGGCTCTGCTCTCAATGGGAGTGTCAGGGATGAAAGTCACTGGTCCATGGTCAGGGCAGTCTGAGGGGTAGGCGCGGTCACAGAGTGTGCACCCTGCAGGGGGAAAGTTTGAGAAACACAAATGAGTTCACCTCAAGCAGGCTCAGTTACCACCTGCTCTTCTAGATAAACAATAATTACTAAGCTGTAACCTGTAAGAAGCAAGGTTCTAACAGAAATACCTTAATCAAGGAACTACTCTTATACCTAAATATATACCAACTCATTTTTCTCTTCAGCAAGATGTGACTTTTTCCTTTTAATCCAATAGGACAAGTTTCCTATTCAGTGCCTAAGAGCAAGATTGATTAAAAAATAAATAAATAACACTACATTTACTTAAAAAATCAAGTTTGTTTTTGTTTTTTAAATCAAGTTCAGTCGTCCCTGGACACATCTTCTCAAATGCTTTAAATTATCTCTAGGTTATTTATAATACCTAATACAATGTAAATACTTGTCATACTGGATTAAGGACAACTTCCTGTGATTTTTTTTTTTCTCAATCTGCAGATCCTGTGGATACAGAGGGCCGACTGTACATTAGATAAGTAATATGATGTTCTGAAGCCTGAAATTGGGTTCCAATTCTACCAAACTATAACAGGAAACTGAGTTGCAATGCTGTTAGTCATGCATAGCAGAGAAGACAGAGCCAGCAGCACCGCTGTTCTCTTTTGCTTCCCCATAAACAAACTGGTCGACCAGATTTTTATGGCAGATTTTTAAGCCAAAAAATATCTACCACCTGTTCTTTGGGCCAGCAGGCAGAATACATTCTTGTGCAGACACATCTGCTTAAAATTCTTAATTTCTAACTGCTCATGTGACCTTTCCTTTTGCACTGTCAGAGGAGGTGCTTCCTTCTATACTGTTGTCTATGCTTACTATAACTTCACTTTCACAAGCTCATGAGTGTCCTCTTTCTCCATAAATCTTTCGCTCTGTTCTTTTATTTTTTTTTCTGTTAAGGAAATAAACTCATCCCTCTATTAGCCAATGACCGAGTTCAAACTTTCCCAATTTGCTCACAAAATAAGTGGAATTTATAAACCTTAGAACCACAGCCATCCAAGTGTCTTTTTCTCCTACGTAATCCATTAGAAATTCTACTTAAATGACATAAGGTATCAGAAAGTTTTCATATTTAGCCAAAGAGTAATAACATATTACTTCAACTACTGCTTGGTTAAAAATTCTTTGATATCCGATTAGAGATCTCCCACCCTTGATGAGAATGGATTCTCAACGAGAAGGGAATCACCTCCAAACAAAGGAGATTCAGATCCAATAAAACAGAAAACGCTAAGATGTTTCTCCAAAGATTATAAACGGTCACTAAGTACATGTAAAGGGATTCAACATCATTAGTCATCAGGGAAAGGCAAGTCGAACAACTAGATGTCACTTCACACCCAAAAGGATGGTTAGAATAAAACAGAAAGAAAATACGTGCTGGCAAAGATGTGGAATGCTGATGCTAGAAATATAAATTGGTGCAGCCACTCTGGCAATTCCCCCAAAAGTTAAACATAAAGCAATTTTCCATTTATACAATGGGACAAAAGTAGGTTTACAGTTGTGAGTACATGCAAGTTTATTCTTGTATCATTTATTCTTGTTTTATTTTCCATGCCAACTGTAAAGCTACTTTTGTCTCACCCTGTATATCCAAGAAAATTTTAAACATGTTCATTCGAAAACTTGTACAGAGTGGGGCAAAGTAGGTTTACAGTTGTAAGTATGCAAAGCAGTTAGTTTATTCTTGTATTATTATTTATTATTGTATTATTCTTCATACAAACAACTTCAAACCTACTTTTGCTCCTCCCCTTTATATAAATGTTCATAGCAGCATTAATCATAATAGCCGGAAAAAAGAAACAACACAAATGTCTATAAATGATAAATAAGATGTGGAATACGCACACAATAGAATATTACTTGCTCATGAAAAAAAGAATGAAGTACTGATGCCTGCCAAAATACAGATGAGCCATGACAACATTATGCTAAAGGGAGAAAGCCACATATTGTATGACCCCATTCACATTAAATGTCAAAAATAGGCAAATCCATGAAGATAACAAGTAGATTAGTAGTCACCTGACCTTGGGCTGGGGCTATGATGAGTGACTGCTGATGGGGTTTCTTTATGGGAAATAAAAATGTTTTGGAATTATAGTAGTAATGGTTATACAACATTCTCAATATACTAAAAATCACTGAATTGTACACTTTAAAATGTGAATTATTTCTCACTTTTTAAAAACACGTTTAGAATCAAGAGGATCCCACTTTAAAAAAGGATCAACAGGCTAAATGAATGAGCTTACACTACAGTCCCAGATAAATTACTTAAAATTGGCACTAGCTGGTTGGTTCAGTGGATAGAGTGTTAGCCTGTGGACCAAAGGGTCCAGGGTTCAATTCCTGCCAAGGGCACATACCTTGATTACAAGCTCCTCCCTGGCCCAGGCCCTGGTCAAGGCTTATGCAGGAGGCAACCAATCGATGTTTCTCTCATATCGATATTTGTGTCTTTCCCTCTCTTTCACTCTAAAAATCAATGAAAAAAATATCCTTCGGTAAGAATTTAAAAAAAAAATTTTTTTAATTTAAATTTGAGACTGAAAAGGTTAATAGGAAATGTCTCCCCATTGTTTGGCTTCTGCAACACCAGAAGATTCATTCTACTCTTCTCACCCTCCTGATCAGTCTACTCTGGAAGCTCTTTGTCTGCGGCTGTATCTTAATATCCCAGCCCTTTTGACATTCCACTCTTACTAGATGGTGTCACCCCACTTCCATGGCCATGATTAACAACTAATGCTGAAGATCCCTACATATTTCCAGACAGATCTCTGAGCTCCAGATTCGACTTCTCATTAGACATTTCTACTACATATCTTATGGATACTAAAACCAGCAGGTCTAAAATTGGCTTCACCGTCACTCCTCAAAAAAATTCATCTACTCCTCCTCCACCAATCATTATCCTAAGAAAGCGTTATTACTATCCACCAGTTTTCCTTGCCAAAAACCAGGGTCTTTTCCAACTTAACCCTTCCTTCCCCTAACTTCATCCACTCAACAAGTTGTACTTAATTCTTGTAAATATCCTACTGTTCCTCAACCTTATTACTTCTACTCAGTTAGAAATTCACCTTTATGGCATCATCGTCTTTACCTACCTGCCTCCAACTAGCCTCCCCTGGAAAGTTTGCCCTGCCTCTTCCTTGCCCTGTTTAGGTGCTCCCCTCTGTAGGTCCCTTTAGCACCTTGCACTGAATCCCATCTTCGCACTCACCACACTGTACTGCGATAGCCTGTTTGCTTGCCTATGCCTCCCATCAGACCATCAGACTACAAGCTCCTTACAGGCATGTGCTGGCTCTTATCAACCATTTTCTCCACAGCAACTAGCAGAGGCTGGCATATAATAAGCAATCAACATGTTTCCTGCATGAATGAAGTATGTAATAATACCAACAAATTATACCTTTTTTGTTGTTGTTGTCCTATAAAAAGAACTTTTACATGAACAACTATGATAATTTATATACATTCTGAGCAAAAACAAAATTGTATTGTATCCACCTATATTTCTCCATTGGGATAAAAAAAAAATGCACATAATTTGCTGAAACCAGTTTGGCTCAGTGGACAGAGCATCTGCCTGCGGACTGAAAAGTCCCAGGTTCGATTCCGGTCAAGGGCATGTGTCTTGGTTGTGGGCACATCACCAGTAGGGGGTATGCAGGAGGCAGCTGATCGATGATTCTCTCTCAATGACGCTTCTCTCTATCCCTCTCTGTAAAAAATCAATAGATTTTTTTTAAATGCATAATTTAATAAATGTTGAAAGAGCATATGGCATCTCACACAGAATACCTTACTAAAGTTTATTCCTATAATTAACTATTTGTGAAATCTTGGGAAAAACCTTATATATTTTAGGGCTAAGCTTATCTGTAATTTCAGAAATGACTGTTTCCTTACTTCAGGAGGATATTTTAAGAACCAATGAAATGTCTATATATCATTTGACTTAGTTGAGGAAAAGGCACCACATTTATATAAAGGACATTACAAAGCAAAGAAAAATTACAAAGCCCAGTTACTTTCTGTACTTCTTTACACCTGACTTTGTGACTAAGCCTGTTAGGAATGATGGCCCTTTCCACCAATATTTCCAAAACAAAAAAAGGCTAAGCACACTCACAAATTGTAAACAAGGTTGCCATATTTTCTTTGTTTGAATTGGAATCTTCCATTTGCAGTGAAGGTGGTACAAAAGACAGACTGTCTGAAGATACATCTACATGGCCTGTCCCCATAGCAACCTCCTGGGTGATGGAGGAGACAGCCACAGGTTCTAGGCTTAGGCCAACTTCATGGAGGGAAACAGATTCTAGGGAGGCGAGGTTGTGTGAGGTAGAGAGTGCCACGCTTACAGAGTTGGTGCTCATGGCCACGGTGTGAATAGAGTCACTGAGGGCACTGTCAGACATCCCGTTGACCCGACTTGCAATGTGGTCAGTCTCCATGACCACAGGGAGCTCCAGGCCATTCCCATGAATGGGTATCACACCACCGTGCCCTACAGTGTCTGCAGCAAGGTTGTTGCTCACAGAATCCACAGACAGAGGTTCATGACTTCTGGAGCCATTTGGGATCTGAGAATGCTCGCCTGCAACACCATCCATTGTAAGCTCTTCTGCCATTCCATCTGTAGAGATGGGGCTAGTTACCCTAGAGACATTCTCCATAGTGATGGTTGTGTCCAAAGCCACCTCATGGCCATCGCTGGGATGAAGACTTTGGGCACCGTGTGTGTTCACAGAGCGAGAGTCGATTGAAACAATGCCTTGTTCTAATCCAACATTTCCATTGGCCTGGTAGGGATCTAGTGCTGAAGGGTTGTTGGCGATAGATAATGCTGTATTACCATCAACATTTATGGAGTTGGGGTGGATATACTGAGGAGGTGGTCTGTCAGCTAAATAAGATAAAATGCCTGAGAAAAGGAAAAGATGAGATAACAGAGATTTTTTTTTTAGTACACTGTTAAATTAAAAAATTCCCAATGCTAGAAGCTATAAATATAACTAAATTAAAATAATCTATCTACTTGTTTGGTTTAATCCATATATATATTTTATAAATAGCAACATACATATAATTCAATTTTCCTGCAAAACTCAGAAATCATAAAAAATTAACCATGTTCCTTTGATGTCACTGGAAGTTAATCATTTAAATGCTGCCTTTAATATATACAGGATGGGAATTTCTGAATCATAAGATGCTGAAATTTGCTCTATAAGAATTAAAAGATAAAATGATTTAAAACCAGATCATCCATGTGAAAAATAAAATTTAATTAAATGTAACTTATTAAACTATCATAATTCAATAGGCTCTATTCAAAACAAGTCATAATTGTACCTGCTTTATTGAAACAGAAAAAAGTATTTCAACACTTGTGCTTATGATGATTTAGTGAAATGGTACAGGAGTATAATTACCAAAACCTCTTTGGAAAGGATGCATATTAAGTATCTCAAAAACATTCATATCCTCTTGCATAAGAAATTTTCTAAATGCATTTTGTAAATATTATACACAAAGATATTCATATAATGGTAATTAAAAAATGGAAATACAAAACTATCAAAAAGAAACACTGATACAATAAACCATGAAATACCCATTCAGTAGAACGTAATGCATCATTAAAAAGGATATTATGGCCCTGACCGGTTTGGCTCAGTGATAGAGCGTCGGCCTGAGGACTGAAAGGTCCCAGGTTCGATTCTGGTGAAGGGAATGGACCTTGTTGCGGGCATATTCCCAGTAGGGGGTGTGCAGAAGGCAGCTGATTGATGTTTCTCATTCATAGAAGTTTCAAAACACTCTATTCCTCTCTCTGTAAAAAATCAATAAAATATATATATTTTTTAAAAGGATATTAACCTAGCTGGTTTGGCTCATTGGCTAGAGCATCCACCCACAGACTGAGGGTCTCGGGTTCAATTCCAGTTAAGGACAAGTACCTTAACTGCAGGCTCGATCCCCGGGTCTGGTTGGGGCACATGTGGGAGGCAACCAATCGATGTGTCTCTCTCACATCGATGTTTCTCTCTCTGTCTCTCCCCTCTCTAAAAATCAATGGAAAAATATTATTGGGTGAGGATTAACAACAACAAAAAACAACAAAAAAGCATATTATGAAAACCAGGTAATAGTTGAAAAAAATAACTATATAAAAATAGAGAAAAATATTAAATAAAAAAAGTAAGGATACACAATTGTATAAAAAATATAGTCTTAATTACTAAAAAACAGTAAAATCTATACACCAAAATAAAAAACAGGAAGGATGATGGGACTATCAATAGTTCTCCTATTTGCTAAATTATCTAAAATGAGCATTTAATAACTTGTGTAACAGAATGAAAGTTCAATAAAGCCCTGGCAGGTTTGGCTCGATCATTCTTCAGCCTGCAGACTAAAGGGTCCTGGGTTTGATTGCAGTGAAGGGCATATGCCTGTGTTGCAGGCTTGATCCCCAGTAGGGGGAATGCAGGGGGCTGCCAATCAATGATTCTCTCTCATCACTGATATTTCTATCTCTCTTCTTCTCCCTTCCTCTCTGAATATATTTAATTTAAAAAAAAAAAAAAAAAGGTGAATAAACTTTATAATAAACAATGACACTGTAGCAGAACATGTGGTTGGCAGGAATTACAATTGCAAAATTATAAAAACTTAACCAAAGAGATGGCTGGAGGAGGAGAAAAACTGCTATGTGCCATTAGGAAATTAAGCTTAGTCAAACTACAATTATTAATAACTAGAGGCCCAGAACATGGATTCATGCACTGGTGGGGTCCCTCAGCCTGGCCTGTAGGGATCGGGGCAATGCTGGCTCTCTGACATTCCCCAAAGGGTCCCAGATTGCCAGAGGGTGCAGGCCAGGCTGAGGGACCCCATGGGTGCATAATTAGAGCTGGGGAGGGACCATAGGAGGGCTCCAGGGCGTCTCACCCAGTCCCAAACAACCATACCCCAGCAGCAAGCTAACCTACCAGTTAGAGCATATGCCCTCTGGTGGTCAGTGCACATCATAGTGACTGGCCAAACGGTCAGACACTTAGTGTATTAGGCTTTTATTATATAGGATAATATATATTCTAAAAGGGAAAGTACATAACTATAAGCAGATAGTTTTCCTGACCTAGATATTAATATCTCATTGTGGCAAACAAAAAAGCATTATTCAGTTCCTCATGCACTGAGGTCAAGTCAGCCCTATTCTTTCTTCTAACCTCCCAAAGAACTATCATACTTACCAGGTAAGATGGTCCTGAAGTAACTGCTCTCCAGGTGGGGGTAAGGTGGTGGAGGTAGGGTGTAGTTTCTTTCGGGTAACCCACACATCACCCCTCGATCGCCAATACCCATTGGCAGCATCAGAGATAAAGCAGATGGCAGAGAGCTCAGGGAGGGACCCAGGTTTGGAATTGCCACTGGCAGACCTACAGAACAAGAAAACAAAAATGTTTTCCTCAATTAAAAGGAAATAAGTGCTTTAACCACTTTATTGTACACCTGAGAGTAATACAAGATAATATTGAATTTATAATTGAAAAATAAAAGTACTTAAACATTCTCTGTACAATCACTAACTAAACTTAGAAAGGTTGTTGCATGTGAGCAAAAATCTCAGAGTAGCCCTTTCCATCCCAGATAGGCACATCCATAAAATGTCATAAACAACTTAGTTTTAAAATACCAAACTGATCCTCTAGTGGTCTATATTGCTCTCAGTACCAAACATTTAATTGCAACTAAAAACTTAGTTTAAATAGGATTTAAGAAATCAAATTATATAGAGATTTAAAAAAAAAAATGGGGAAAAACATACCAGTGATCTCTGAATAGTGATATTACTGGGCTCTATTTAGAACTGATAATGCAGTAAGTGTTGATAAGCAGTTGCTGTCTCTTACCACTCACCTGGGGCAGGGAGGGCATTGTGAGTGGGTGAGGCAGCCAACCCCAGGTGACTCCCTGTGACCGGCAAGGCATTGCTCACAGAGGATGAAGTCAGCTGCTCCATCCCCACTGGGCTCAGGTTCATTTCATTCATCCTAAGAAAGAGCACAGTAACCAGTTATGCAAACAACTGTGTCAGCGACTCTGCTTAAGGAACTCAAGAACCTAAAACAATGGGGGTGGGGAGATGGGACTTGACCAACTATTATTTCATTTTTATGCTCACATCGTAAACATCTTAAACAGGATTGTACCTTGTTTCCATCAGGCTTGCCTTGTTCCAAACCCTACTCACACTACCTAAAACAAAGTTTGCAATCCTTAGAGCACAATGGCAATGAGGGTTGGCTTGTTTTTTTAAACCACCCAAGTTTTTTCTCTCAAAGGATTTGTTTTCTTCAGTTGGCTTATTACTTTCCACCAAGACTGTTTGTTATAACCTGCACAAAGAATATTTGCTAATTCTTTTTACCAGGAGTTAAAATGATGCTGGATCTGAGTTAAATTATTAACGGTGTGAAAAAGCATCATATATTCTCATGGATCAGCATTTTATTAAAATTCTGTATCAACATTTTAATTAACTACCTTAATGACATCCTCCACATATTGAGGTTTGTTATGAAACCTTTACCAGATACTTTTTGAAAAATTACTTCATATCTCTCACTTCTTCCAAATAAGGTAAAGAAACTGAGTCTCAAAGAGGTTATGTCATAATCCCCAAATCATACAGTAATGAAGTGGAAGAGCACAGATTATGCTCCAAAATAATGCCAAAAAGTTTTTCAATACACCAACTTTTATCTACAGAACATTTCTGGCAGGCAGAAAAATGTGAGAATTTCATTTTCTAAGCAATCCATGTTGTATTGCCTTTAATAACATTATTAGAATAAGAGTAAAACTGATTAGAACAAGACACTATTAGAGGTTATCGATAAGTATTAGTTCCAATGTCAGTCTGCCATATTAAAAATACTGTATTCGCACCGAGACCGGTTTGGCTCAATGGATAGAGCGTCGGCTTGGGGACTGAAGGGTCCCGGGTTCGATTCCGGTCAAGGGCATGTACCTTGGTTGCGGGCATATCTCCAGTAGGGGGTGTGCAAGAGGCAGCTGGTCGATGACTCTCTCTCATCGATGTTTCTAACTATCTCTCTCCCTTCTTCTCTGTACAAAATCAATAAAATATATTTAAAAAAAAAAAAAAAATACTGTATTCGCCCTAACTGTTTTGGCTCAGTGGATAGAGCGTCGGCCTGAGAACCGAAAGGTCCCAATTTCTATTCCAGTCAAGGGCATGTATCTTGGTTGTGGGCACATCCCCAGTAGAGAGTGTGCAGGAGGCAGCTGATTGATGTTTCTCTCCCATCGATGTTTCTAACTCTCTATCCCTCTCCCTTCTTCTTTGTAAAAAAATCAATAAAATATTTATTTTTTAGAAAATGTATTTCAAGAAGCTAGCCAACGGGTTGTCCAAAGGGGGACAATAATGACTCCAAATCTTGTACTACCACAGTAATTCATGTTCTTTTGCATGTGCCTTTGTACATGAAAGAGGTGAAGGGGAAGAGAAATCAAATGTGTCTACATATTCCTTAGCCGTGAAAACAAACCTAACGGGCATTTAATTCTGAACAACGGCAATACCAGCTATCAAGCAACCTGAAAATAATTAAAAGCTAACACTCATTACTCTTGTTCCATATGCGTTAGGCACAGGGCTAAGTGATTTACATGTAATTATCTCACCTAATCCTTGTAAGTACAGTGAGGTAAGTATTATTCTTAATCCCATTTTAGAAATGAGGAAACAGACTCAGAGACACTGAGAAACTTAACCACAGATTACATAACAAGGTGCAGGCTTGGGATTTAAATCCAGGTCTGCCTAATTTAATAAAACAAATCTCTTAACTAAAATTCAAAAAGTCAGTTACAATAAAAGAACCACCTTGCCTCTTACACAGTTCCAATACTACACTGGGATCTGTGTAGGTACTTACATGGTGGGATATGCTTCAAGTCCTACACAGACCTGTTCCTGCACAATTCTGTATTCACGGCTTCAACTTTATCCCTGGCCAGGTGTGTCCTAAAACAAAGCTCCCAGACATTAATAAAGTAGGTTAGGTAAGGCCAGTGGTCGGCAAACTCTTTAGTCAACAGAGCCAAATATCAACAGTACGATCGAAATTTCTTTTGAGCCGCAAATCAACTTTGGTGCATGGGCCACAAAGTTTCAATCGCACTGTACGTGTCGCCCGCACATGGTATTTTGTGGAAGAGCCACACTCAAGGGGCCAAAGAGCCACGTGTGGTTCACGAGCCGCAGTTTGCCAACCACTGGGTTAAGGCCAACCTTGTATAGAGGGCGCACTCTGAAATACTGGAGACTGGATGGAGCTGTGTAAGCTCATCCAACTAAGAAGACAACTAGAAGCACATGACAAATGAGGCACACCTGGTAAAGGAAAGCGCCTTTATAATTATGCTATAAAAAGTGTAAAAAAATTCCTGATTGCCAAGACTGGTTTGGCTCAGTGGATAGAGCGTCAGCCTGTGGACTAAAGGGCAAGGGCATGTACCTTGGTTGCAGGCAAATCACCGGTAGGGGGTGTGCAGGAGGCAGCTGATCAATGTTTCTCATCAATGTTTCTAACTCTCTATCCCTTTCCCTTCCTCTCTGTAAAAAAATCAATAAAATATATATATTTTTTAAAAGTCCTCATAGACTAAAGAAACCACAGCATCCTTAATTTTGAAAGTTTCTGGGCTTGGGTTACTTTAAAACACGTTTCCTGGAAATTTTTATACCTAGAGTTTTTAGTCAAAACTCAATCACTGCAGCAGCAATGACCCAGAACAAATTGGTTACGATCATTTTTTAACGTACTATTAAAACTCAGAAGCTTCGAATTCCATTCTGAAAATCCCTGAACACTTAATCTGAGTGATAATCTTGAGATAAAACGCAAAATGGTGTTTCTAGATTGACTTCTAAAACCAGTTGCAACCAGAGCTGAATGTGAGAGGCTCAGCAGATTGCTGCTGTTGTGAGTCACTAAAATGTGATGACCTCAGCAGCTGTGAGCCAAAGGTGGCTGGTATCCCACAGAGAGAAAGCCCAGGAAGGGAATTCACAATAAGACCCTCATCCGACTCTCACTGTAAAATGCAATTCTAGCCGAAGCGGTTTGGCTCAGTGGATAGAGCGCCAGCCTGCGGACTGAAAGGTCCCAGGTTCGATTCCCAACAAGGGCAGGTACCTTGCTGAGGGCACATTCCCAGTAGGGGGTGTGCAGGAGGCAGCTGATTGATGTTTCTGTCTCATCGATGTTTCTAGCTCTCTATCCCTCTCTCTCCCTCTCTGTAAAAACTCAACTAAGATATATTTTTAAAAATAAAATGCAATTCCATTCTAACCACCTTTCTCAAAAGGGATTCCAGGAAGCAGCCTTGGGAAAAGGGCCAGAATGGAGACATCAAGCACTCTCTTCTTCCCTCCTTGCTCCTTAAAAAATCATTTCCTTCAGACTTTCCCCATGACCTAGGTATGAACACATGCTAGTTGCTGATCTTATAACTTTACTTAGAATGACATATAAGCAACTAACATTAATGAAAACGCAGTCATTTTGCAAAACGCAATAAACTGAGTCATTTCAACGACTATATTTCCTGTATCCTAAGCAGAAGGCCTACGAAAAGGCTCGAAAAGCCCAGCCATATATCACTATTTCTGTGCTGTGCCGACAAGGCACCAACAAGTACCTAACTTTAAACATCTGCGTAAAGGTTTTAGCGTGAAGAACTTCAATTTCTCCACTGCAACAGCCAGATGGTAACCGAGGGAAATTCAAAGTGAGGCGTGGTGAGGAGCTAAAATTACACTTTGGGACCCAAAAATATTATTAAACGCTCAAACGGGGCAAAGGCACAGGATGAAGATGTCAACGGGCCAACCTATGGCTCTCCTCGCGGGTGAAGTAGAATGAAAGTATAAGCAACCCCCGTTTCTGGGGTTCTGGTTGCTTGGGGACACGAATCCGTATTTGCAAACCGCACCGGTCACCTTCCCGGTGGCACCCAAGAGAGAGGGCACCGGGAACGCTCACGTGCCCCATGTTTTCCGAAGACGTCACCACGGCTCGCCACTCACCTGTGATGCATCTGCTCGGGGCCCGGGACCGGAGAAGAGCGCACTCGGGCGGCGGGGGGGCCCGCATCAGGGTCTGCGTCCCGGGGTCACCGGCCACCGCATCTCGCCTACGGCCTCCGCGCACACGCCGCCCCGCGTCGCCAGGGCCGCCCGGGGCCGCCCCGCTTGTCCCGGGGGCCGGCGGCCGCGCACCCCGTCGCGAGATGGGACATGCCGGGCGACACTGGGCACTTTTCCTCCCGAAGCTTCGCGGGAGGTGGGGGGTAGAGGGGCTGCCCAACCTGCGGGAAAGGACGGGGCGGTCACCAAACCACGGCAAGCAGGCAGCCTCCTCCTTCGCCGCCCGAGAGCCTGGGCCTGGGGACCCCTCGGGCAAGAGGCCCCGCAGGGCGCCCCCGCACCCCACCCCCGGCCGGGCCCGCGCGCTGCCCACCTGCCGGCCGCGCGGGGGGCACGCACCTGCCCGCCGCTTTGTTCCTCATCCGGGCCGGGCTCGCCTCGGGGCCCTCCCCGCCCGCTCGACCCCCGCGTCCCCGGGGCCGTTCGCCTAACGTTCCCCGCCCGGCCCGGCCCTGCCCGGCCCGGCCCGCAGTGTCCCCGGGGCCGCACCCTCCGCGCGTTTCCGGCTCCTCAGCCACTCGCGGCGCCCGCCGCTCCGCCCCCCGTGCACGCGCCCCTCCCCGTCGGGGCCCCGCGAGCGAGTGGCGACCACGCTCCGCGCGCCCCTCCCCCAGCGGAGCCCCTGCCGCGCGTGCGCACCGCGAGCCGCAGCGAGGGTCGAGGCGCGCGGCGGGGCGGGGCGGGACGCGGCGCATTTCAGTCTGGCCGAATCGAGTGGAGCGCCGAGCGATCGACCCAGTTGCTAGGCAACCAGGGCTGCGGTCTATGGAGGAACAAGTCAAGGGAGCTGAGTAGCCCAGATTGCGGATTTGAAGGCATTCGCCTACTAGAGAAGTGTGGGTCCACGAAGCCCCCAAGCAATAAGGGACCTCGCCCAGAGATGGCAGTTTTCGCCGGTCGAAATTAGAATTGCATCCCCAGTATTTTTCACCGTGTGTTAGTTACCCCTTGATTTTGAAGGTTGTCCAGGTACCCTGCTTCAAGCCATAAATGTTGGTATTGGGGATTCTGTACAAATTTCTTTCTCCTTCTCTCTCTGTCCTTCACTCCCTGTTGCGAGCCAGGCGCTGTGCTAAGCCCTGGGGACACCGTGATGGGTAAGGAAGATGGCCCCTGGTTCATGAGGACTGGACATGGAAACCACAGCACAGTGCCCTGTAGCTTCCACTCAGGATTATATGTCATACATAGACATACAAGATAAGACACACATCTTGACCTTCAACAGCTCGCAATCTAGGGGAGACTGTTGAGTTCTGACAATGAAGTCTCCTGTGAAAGGACAGAGGCACCAGCCCTTGGGTCTATAGCTGAGCACGGTGTCAACTTACATCATGTTTTCCTTCCTTTTACTTCTCATAAAAGAGAAAGCACATTCCACATGAGGGAGCTAATCGCTGAACCTTAGCAGGTCACATTGGTTTTGCTTTCTTGTTGACAACACACAGAAATCTAAATCAAGAAAGTCAACATATCGTAAGTGATAGTATTCCCTTTTAAAATGCCACTTCAAGCCTAGAGCCAAGGGAATGATGATGATGAGTCTCATAAAAGGCTGAATGACTTAATTCTGGCTTTCCATGACCATTCCTTTTGAACAATTTTAATATCAGAGGTGTATATAAAAATAAGCTCGGATAGCCGAAACCGGTTTGGCTCAGTGGTAGAGCATCCGTCTGCGGACTGAAAGGTCCCGGGGTTCGATTCCGGTCAGGAGCATGTACGTTAGTTGCAAGCACATCCCCGGTAGGGGGTGTGCAAGAGGCAACTGGTCGATATTTCTCTCTCACCGATGTTTCTAGCTCTCTATCTCTTTCCCTTCCTCTCTGTAAAAAATTAATAAAATATATTAAAAAAATAATAAGGTCGGATAAATTTAAGAGCTAAAAACTACAATACTTCTAGACAAAAATATAGGAGAAAATCTGTATAACCTTGATAAGACAGAAAAATCAGGAACCAAAATAAATTTAACAAATTGAGCTTCATTAAAATGAACATTTTTGGCCGGGACCGGTTTGGCTCAATGGATAGAGCGTCGGCTTGGGGACTGAAGGGTCCCTGGTTCGATTCCAGTCAAGGGCATGTACCTTGGTTGCGGGCATATCCCCAGTGGGGGGTGTGCAAGAGGCAGCTGATCGATGACTCTCTCTCATCGATGTTTCTAACTCTGTATCTCTCTCCCTTCCTCTCTGTAAAAAATCAATAAAATATTTTTAAAAAATGAACATTTTTGGTCTTGAAAAGATATTGTCAACAAAATTTAAAAAAAAAATCAAGCCAGAGACAAGAAGAATATATTTGCAAAACAAATAACTGACAAAGGACTTTTGCCTGGAATCTATAAAGAATCCTTTAAACTCGAAAAATAAGAAGGCAAACAACCCAATTTTTTAAATGGATCACATATTTGAAAATCTACTTCACCAAATAAGATGTGTAGATGGCAATTAAGCACACAAAAAGATGAGGAACATCATTAGTTATTAGGGAAATGCAAATCAAAACACAATGAGGAAACATTACATACCTATTAGAATGTCCAAAATTAAAAAGACTAATAAGTGTTGGTGCAGATACAAAGCAACTGGAACTTTCATATTTCGTTGGTGGGAACACAAAATGCTACAGCCATTTTCGAGAATAGCTTAGCAATTTCTTATACCCTACAATTCGATAATTACACTCCTAGGTAGTCACCCAAGAGAAAATAAAAATATATGTACAGACAAAGACTTATAAACAAATGTTTATAAAAGCTTTATTTGTAATACCCACAAATGAGAAACAATCCAAATGCCCATGCTGGTGAATGAATAAACAAATTTGAGTATATCTACATTTTGGAATAGTACTCAGCAATAAAAAGGAACATGCTATTGATGCATGAATGAATCTCAAAAGCATGAAGCTAAATAGAAGAAACCATACACATAATAAGCCATACACATAAGACTACATAATACGTGTGTCATGTATATGAAATGGTAGAAAATTCTAGTAATAGAAAGCAAATAAGTGATTATCAGGAATTGGAAATGATTGGGAGGGGGTAAGACTGCCTGCAAAGGGCTGAGGGAACTTAGAAATGATTGAAATTATCTTGATTGTGGTAGTTAGTGGTTACATGATTGTATAGATTTGTCAAAATACATAGTGCACTTAAAATGTGCAAGTTTTAGTACATGTAAAAATACTTCAAAAAGTCAATTTTTTAAAAATGATGTCAGGATCCTGAAAAGCATCCTAACCCCTTCTGCCAGATTAGATTAGGTCCACTGTATGCTCTCTCATCGTTCTAGTCTTTGTTGTAAGTAATTGTTTAATTTTTTTGGCTCACCAAGTAGATTTTCCGTTTTGGAGACAAAACACACATCTATCTTATGTAATACTATATGTCATAGCACAACACCTAGCACACATGAGGTGCTTGATAAATACAAACCAAACTGGCATAGGTCTACGCTATGCTTATCGACTCATATATCTATTTATTTGGAGATGTATGGCAAAGGGATGCCCAAAGGTTGCCTGATGAGCTCATTTTGGGTGACTTGCCACTTTAAAAAGATATCAAGTTGCTCTGCTGGGTAGCTAGCTCAGTTAGAGCCTCCTCCCAATATGCCATTGTGGTTTTGTGGTTCAATCCCCAGGCCAGGCATATGTAGGAATCAACTAATGAATGCATGAACGTGGAACAAAACCTGGGGCCCTTGAGTCTGCAGGCTGACGCTCTATCCACTGAGCCATACCGGCTTCCGCAGAGGGACTGTGTTAAGGGCCCCAGTTCTTGACTCTTCCCAGTAACCACACCCTTTGCTAGTACAAGGTGACTCTACTAGTCATCGGAAAAAGAAGTGGAACTTTTTTCCTGCCCTATCAGACATGCCGGAACTCAGCCAAACTCAGCCTGCAGTCATTGCCCCTCAGGCCCATGCACTAAGTAAATGCTTGTTGTCTTAAGCTAGCTGGTGTCTTGAGGTGGTTTGTTTCATGGCCGTTCTGATGAGGCAGCCTTCCTTTTCTTAGGTAGGCTCTGGCTCTCTGCTCCGACCTTGGGAAACTGTCACGTGGGCATCAAACCTTAAGCATTGGTATTTGGGACATTATTTCTTTGGGGCCTACGTGCCTGGTATCACTAGCTCCTCTATTGGCTACAAAATGGCTTGTTTTTTCAATGGAGTGGATGTGGGGCTGGAACGGGGATAATTGTGAGTGTTCTGTTACCTCTTTGGATGTAAAAAGTGGAGCACGCCTGGTGTGGCACTTGATCTCCCAGATCTGAAGGAACTAGAATGATTTCAGTAGAGGACCACCGAGGCTGTAACTGCTGAAGGAGCCCTGACTCTGCTCAGGCTTTGGAGTACCCCACTCCCTGAGACTGAGAAGAATTAAAAATTGAGGGAACAATCTGTGGAGTTTAACCAAAGAAATTTTTATGTTGGTATCTTTAAATTGTAACTCATAAGGGTAAGGTTATTTAAACTTTAGGTTTTATTTTATTTTATTTATTTTTTAAAAATATATATATATTTTTATTGATTTTGTACAGAGAGGAAGGGAGAGAGATAGAGAGTTAGAAACGTCAATGAGAGAGTCATCGATCAGCTGCCTCTTGCACACCCCCTACCGGGGATGTGCCCGCAACCAAGGTACATGCCCTTGACCGGAATCGAACCCGGGACCCTTCAGTCCCCAAGCCGACGCTCTATCCATTGAGCCAAACCGGTCTCAGCTTAAACTTTAGGTTTTATATTATCCCTAGCAATTCAATTATGGGGGATATAATTTTAAATTTAGAGTATTTTTGTATTGATAAATTATTTGATTGCATAACCTCTGGCTAGCTATATTGGAATGTTCTTCATTAGAAATAGAGAAGGAATTAAGA